TTCCAACCAACCTTTCGAGCTTCTGTAATCAATGTGTGAGAATTTTAATCACCGTTCGAGATTATCGATTAGGTTTTCTCGAGCCAGCGAGTAAGCACCGTTCAGCGGTTCACGTTCTGCGTTGGGTAGGTACTTCATATCGGTACACTATAAGAATCTATATCCCGATACACTACAGCAGTCATAAATGAAGTACCTACCCTGCATTGGTCAAACAAAATGGCCGAGGAGGATTCGAGACAAACGACTGACATTGTTCGCCAGCTTATCACCAGCGTAAAACAGCTGTCCGATCAAATGGCATCCGGAAGTCAGCCACGATCTGTTGATAACGAAATATCACAGGTTTTTGGTAGGTCCAGGGCAACAAATGCTGTGCCAAGCTCAACTATATCAACTTCCAGTGGGATTGGCGTTGGCGGGAATTCCTCGTGCGCCTCGCAAGCAGGTGGTTTGTCGCACTTCAGAAGGTTGTCAAACCAGAGACGAATTGGCAGCAATGTAAATAAAAGAACAAAGAAGGCTAGACTGCCAGACAGCAGCCCGTTTCTATGTGACCTGGTTTTGCTGAACGGTCCAACAACAAACGTGGTCCCCAGGCAGGGGGCCAGAGTTACCCTTATGGAGCATGGCCACGTGCTCTCTGCCTGTCGGTTTACCAAGGCAATGACCGAGATAGATGTGGAACTTACAATCATTGAGGCCTTTGGAGATAAAATCCCCCGTCTTGTGGATGTGGAGATCTTGACGTCTGTCCACAGTAAACTTGTAAAGCCAACTCTGGCTCCCGGGCAGGAAGGCATCAACGGAGTAATTCTTCATCGACTTTTCAAGACCAAGCCGATTTACGTCAGACCGAGCCAGCAATTATTGCCCAGTTTCACGCAGGTGAGAACTCAAAATTCCTCAATAAATGTTGTATGGATATAAACAGCACCCTCTTCCCCCCACCCCCCACATACCCCGCCTCCATTCCCCTCTCCCACATTCAGATGTGAAAAATGAGTTTGCCTTATTATTAAAATTACTCTTTCACTTTGTTTAGGAAGATGAAGAGGTAGAAGATGAAGAGAAAGAGCAAGAACAATCAGGTACATGTAAAAATAGATTGACTTATTTTACTGTAGGTTTGGTGAGCAGATTTTGAGGCTGGTTGCCCTGGGCAAAAGGGTGAAAGTGTGTGGTGTGACCACAGCTATTGATCATTGTCTAGCATACTTTTAAGTCATTTACTGGTACTTATTTTATGATAGGAAATCAATCAGCACAACATCGGCCAAGTCAGTCGTGCCCCACCCAGCTGCAGCAATCCCAACCAATTGAAAGCCATCTTTTGCAGCCAAATAATGATCAAGGTAACTCTTTCCATAAAATAGCCCAATTTCAATACCTTAAAATTCTGACTTGTCTCCAAGACTCAGTAAAGTGGAAAAATTCAAAAGGAAATGAATATCATGTATTTCCACAAGCCTCATAGTCAAGTGAGAATTTTAATACATGTACATTGAAATAGGCCTATTTAAATTGCATCTTGTTTGCAATAAGAAAAATTAGAATTTGTTAATCTTTCTTCAAAGCATCTGTCTGTGGAAATTATATTTACTATCGTTTACTATCATTCATGGATGATTCTTATTATTTCTTATTATAACAATAAAATATGTTATATATCAATATTTATTATTATCATCATTTATTGCATTTAACAAAGAGATGCACTTGCAGAGAAATTTTGGATTCTGGTAGTCATGTTATAACCAAATGTAAAGAAACCTTAAAAATATAGGCGATACACGAGATTTGAACCCATATCCACTGGTCAACCCAACAGTCCACCTATCTGTAGCTATTTACCTGCAAATATTCTTGAACTCCATCAAATGCTTATTTACTGAAATGTGATTCTAATATTTGTTTGTGTATGTTCTCAGATGCAGATGCACTGTTAGAAAAACCAGTGTTTTCCTCATCTGATCAAATGCCTGGGCCATCTGTCGTTGACCTTGCCACCAATGATGCTGAAGACACTCAAATAAAGAATGACGAACAAGTTGCAAGGTCATTACAGGAAGCATTCAACAGAGACTTTGACAGGGAAACCAGCCATTTGCTCGGATCTGTTGATTGTTCAACTATAGATGATGAGGCTGGCGTACTTAAAGTGCTAGAAGAGAAGGTGATAAGGGAAAAAGAGTCCTTGTTCCTTGTAGTAAGAAGAGGCGCACCATTAGAGAGAGTTCTTAACCTCTGGCGTAGAGAATCCCGCAAAATTTCTCCGGAACATGAACTTAGAATCAAGTTCCTTGGAGAGCAAGGAATTGATTCCGGTGCATTGACTAAGGAATTCCTCACCTTGACAATTGCAGATATTGGAAAAAAGTTCTTTCCCAATGGCAGCCCAGTACACTCCACAAATGACGTCCAAAATGGAAATTTTAAAGCATGTGGAGAAATAGCAGCAACAAGCTTAGCCCAAGGCGGGCCACCACCATGCTTTTTAGCAGAATGTGTCTATAATACTTTGGTTCTGGAAAGTGACATTGACTTCACAAGTGTCAGTCCTGAACAACACCTGACTTCAACTGAACAAGAACTACTGCACCACATACAAAGCAATGTCATGGATCATCAAGATACCATTATTGAACATGGGTACACAGGGGTGATCGATAAAGAACACTTGCACTCCATAACTGCCTCAATTGTTGTCAGTATGCTGAGCAGGAGGACCCTTTGCCTCAAGGAGTTCAAAAAGGGGTTGCAACTTTATGGGTTGTCAGGTCTTATTTCCAGATATTCACAAGTTACTCGAGGTCTATTTGTTATGGGACAGCAGCAGAAAGTGGATGCTAACTACCTCGTCTCCTTGATGGCACCTGAATTCTCTCCAGAAGGGTCCTCGCGACGACTGAAAGAAGAGGAAATTATGGACAATTTTCAAGACTTCCTAATCAGCCTTGAGGACGAGGTTATAACAGGCTATACAGAAGCTATAGCCTGTAATACAGATGATGATGCAGACCAATGCACCAATAATGATCAGGAGATTGAAACCTTTAGCATCCCAGACCTGACACCAGCAGGAGTACTTGGTTGGCTGACGGGACAGAAACATAGGGACATTGGGAAAACAGACCGTGCAATCACTGTCAAGTTTGACCATGAATGTTTGATTCGCAACCCAGATCACAGGCTGTGCTTCCCTTATGTGGGGGCCTGTGGACAAACAATCACTTTTCCTGTTTGCCACATGGCAGGTTTCGACAAATTTAAAGAAATCTTCCTATTAGCTTTCTGTAAAGGCCAAACATTTGCCATGCGCTAAAGGTTAGCTGAAAATAACCCTTCAAGTCTTACTGTTTAAAGTTATGACCATGAGTAGTTGTGATTGTTTATGACTGTGAACTGTTCATCAGATGAGATTAATAAGGACTCCTTTATGTTAAAAATTTTGTGATTAATTAATAATCACATTAAGTAACTTCTGTTTTAAGGTTATGGAAAACCACTTTAGTGTTCCAGTTTTCTATTCACTTGTCGTTCCTATTCTAGTCTGTGAAACACTAAGTTACATGTTCACATGCATGATTAATTAAGTAACGTCCTGATGATCTATCAAGAAAAATGTGAGCTGTTAACCAGATGAGATTAAGGACTCCCTTGATGTTAAAATATTTATGATCTGTTAATACTCATGTTGTACAGGTTATGAAAAACTACCTTAGTGTTCCTGTTTTTTTACTGCCATTCATTTATGATTATTATAAAGGAAATAAAGGGAGATGTAAAGATTGGAACCCACGACCCTCTGTGTTGTAGGTCGGCTGCTCTAACCTCTGAGCTACTGAGGACTCGTTGGCGCGCAAGGGTCATTTTTGTGGGTTGGACTTGTGAACCGCATCACGCAGTCACGCTGTGCTCAGAGGTTAGAGCATCTGATCTAGAACACGGAGGGTAGTGGGTTCGAATCCCACCTGGGGCTCAGATTTTTTCTGTGTCCTCTTATGGTTTATTCTCTACATCTCCCTTTATTTCCTTTATAATAATATCAGTGGCATAGGTTGGTTGGTTGGACATTCATTTGTTGTTGTTCTATTTCTAGTCTTGGAAGCACTAAGTTATATGACTGTGTTCATATGGATGATTTTGCAACTTCCTATATGATTGTAAAGTGATTAATTTATAATGAATCACAAAGAATTGTTTGTAACTACAGATTTTGTAAGAACTGCATAACAATAATTATGTTGCAATAAAAATTTTATATTATTGCCATGTATTGATTGTAGTTTGTTTTATAAGGCCTTTGTCAGTAGCATGGTGACTACCATAATGCACATGTATGAATTCCCTTGAAATTATTTCCTTTGGCTTTTTCATTTCTTGAGGGACTGGTTATAAAACCGTGTAAACTTAAAAGCTAGAAAGGTGCTGCAATTTATTATGATATTACCACAACCGTGCACAATCTTTATTTGTTTTACCATCACATGCTATGGCAGAAACGTTTCTATTGATAGTTTCAAAACACATCTTAAAATCTATTGTGGTTTGTGCATGGTGTATTGAAAAAAATAACACCAACAAAAACATGAGAAATACATTTTGGGCTGCATACCTATCACCCTCTATTAAACCAATATTGACCATGTCACCAACAAGCAGAGAAGGGGATAGTTCAAAAAGGGTTGCCTGGAAAAAAGCCCCAAGTGACTTCTGATAAATTGCTAGATTCTCCTTCCAAATTGCCTTATATTCTGCTGAAACACAGCGAGAATTTGGCATTGCATCAAGTAACTGAGGACCTTAGTCCACGCACCCCTTCCACCTGCACCCTTGATCATACAACAAAATAACAAAATGTGAACTGAGAACTTGTACTGGTGGTATAACTTAAATTGTAAGTCTGTTTCTTTCTCCAATTAATATGTGCTGCTTCAAAGGCCACAGGGCAAGAAATTGGGATGACATCTCCTTGGGAAGGTGGGGGGGGGGGAGTTTCAAGAAGTGAAGCTTTCGATAATCCTCACAGTATTAACAAAATGATCAATGCCATTGTTTCCATCATCAGAAATGGGATCCACATTGCGCTCTAATTCCTGAAGTTGCTGTTCAGAAAGCTGGAGGTGTGATTCTGGCACAACGACATTATTGTTGGTTTCAATGTCAGAGATAGGGCCATCATTGTCAATACCATATGTCTGCCAATTTATGATGCTGGATTCATCTGGAGCAGTAAGCATTGCACTGTACCACAGTGCCAAAGGTGATTGATGACCTGCTGTCCTGATCCCATGATGATTCCATTGCCTTGTGAATTCTTCTAGAGATGCATTGATCCTTGGTAAGTATACATATTGCAAAGCCAACAAGTGCAGTTCATCAAGTGAATCCAAGGTACCAGTGTTCTCAAGGAACTGGAATAAATCCTTGTAAAGTGCGGAGCTAACTCTGTTAACTTCTGCCCACAACCTCTCAATGCGTTGGTTATGCACACTGCGGCCAGCAATAAAACTGCCTCTATCTGACCCCCTGTTGGTAATCATGTATCTTGCTACATCAACGTTTTCCATCCCCTGATCACCTCGAACCCTGGAAGGGAGACCAAACGCTTGTACTCCCTGCTCAAAATATTGGAGAACAGTATTTGCTTTGTTATTTCTGCAGCACTTTAGATAAACAATGGCTCTACTGTATCCATCAATGCACCCATGGATAATAAATCTCCATGAAATAAGTTTATGGTTCGAGTCAATGTGCCACAAATGATTTGGACCAGACACGTTGTAGGTCCTTCGACAGATTGCGTACGTTCTCCTCACAGCTCTCCCAATACCATCTATCCGTTTCAAACTTTCTCTTATTCTGGACCTTTGAACATTTATTCCCCTCCCTTTCAGACTGCCTCTAACATAGGATTCCCCACTATATGGTGTTAAATTTAGGGTTTGTTGTATTTGCCTGTCTAATTCATCGTCAGCGATTTCTGTGAAACTGTTATCGATTCCGAATTGTACCCTTCTTCGGTAAAGTGTTTGCTCAGAGACTCCTAAACACGTTGCTATGCTTCGCCAGTTCATTCCAGTCTCACGAAGCTGCTCTATCAGCTCCTTCGTAATGTTATAGGCTGGTCTTCCTCCTGTACTTCTGCAATACGTGACAGACCTCTCCTCTCTTTCACGGGAGCTTGACGTAATCAGAATGTTAGAGAGATGTCTCAATAATACAGCTAAGGAATCTACCAAAACTCCAAACAAATCTCCCAATGATGAATCACCTGCAACACTTTGTGACAGCGATATAGCGACAAGTACCCTTGTATGTTCGTCAAGCCTTCTTTCACAGATTTCTAATCCTACTAGGTCAGAAGCATTATAAACTGTAACAGTTCTATCGATGGTGTTGCTTAGAGAAATCAGAAACTCTCTTACATCGTCCAAGCTTAACTGATTGGCCATCCTGTCGGCCATTTTGTTTGATCAACGCAGAACGTGAACCGCTGAACGGTGCTTACTCGCTGGCTCGAGAAAACCTAATCGATAATCTCGAACGGTGATTAAAATTCTCACACATTGATTACAGAAGCTCGAAAGGTTGGTTGGAACTCATACCACTTTTGTCATGTTTGGCTTTTATGTTGCTGCATCGCTCTTTTTCGAATGGTGATTTCTCATTCTCGTATAGTAATTTCCAGATCTCACAAATCGATTACATTCTCAAATGGTGATTTCTCATTCTCGTATAGTGCCTTTTCATTCTCGAATTATGATTTCTAATTCTCGTATAGTGATTTCCCAGCCTCATACATAGATTACTGAAACTCGATAGATGATTTAAAACTCATACCACTTTTGTCATGTTTGGCTTGCCATACTACTGCACTTTGTATTTTCGGAAGTGAACGAGCCAACTCAGTTCTAGTCGAATAAGTATAACGTTCAAAATATGTATGGAAAATACCACGTTGGTCTATTATACACATATTGCCGGTTAAAAGTGAGGCAAGTTGGGATTGGCTTATTTAATGATGTAGTGCAGATCTCTGAAACTTTACAACATTTTAACCTTAGGGTAAAACATATCTTATAATGAGAAGCAGTGTTTCAAAAGAGAGTCTCGGAAAAATGTCGCTACTGTAAAAGATGTTATAATGCCTGTATGCACGCCTCACATGCCTATTTGAACACGCCAGGGATTATTGATTGGAAATTGCTTATAGTTTTCTGGACAAGTGTAGATTACAGTTGTTGATTTATCAGTCCTGCTTGCTTTTGTTCCCGAAGTCTTTCTAGCAGCGACCTAAAATTCATTCTCCCCAAGTTTCCACAGAAACTGGTACTTAGCCCTTACTTAGTCCACTTTAGCTCAGTACCGTCTCGTCCCTAGGACTTTCCAGATCGTCTTTCTCGGACAAAATAAGACACACCCTGCGTACGAGTTACATTCGCGTCTACACATTAACCTCTTCTCGCTCAGAAGAATTGAGTTACTTTCTAATTATTACGAGGGGCGGAAGTCGCAGGCTGGCGGATGCAAAGTTAGGGATGGACCAATTTATGTCGGAGAAAACGGTTGAGTAAACAGAAAACAATTCTTGGAAATTTCAAGAAGAAAAAGTTAGCTCGCAAGGTGAGGCGTCATAAAAAATTAACTGGTAACAAAAGTCAACTAAAATTCAAGCACAGTACTTACAGGCAGTTACGAATTTCTGTGCAGAATGCAAACACGCCCAACCCTAGTCCCTCGTGAAATAGAAAAATATGACACGGCAAACTGATCCCTACGGCAAGGCGATGAAGAAGTAAAAAAAGAATAAAACAAAAATATATATATATATATTGACAAATTTGCCCAATATTTTTTTGGCCTGAAAACAAATCTTCCTCAGGGGCTAGAAGAAAATGAAGATAAAACTAAAAGTTCGTTACAAATAAGAGTTTGAAGATATGACAATAAAAACAATGGATTGTTATTGATCTAGGAAAGTAGGTAGTATCGTATATCAGCGACCTTCATCACATTTATTTATTCCTCTATTTATTGCTCTAGGAATAAATAGACGTGATGAAGCTCGCTTATATACGATACTTCTAATATTACGCCCGGCAAATTTGTTAAATACATATTTTTTGTTTTATTTTTTTGTTTACTTCTTCATCGCCTTGCCGTAAGGATCAGTTTGCCGATTCATATTTTTCTACAAGTTGTTATTGTACTGATCCAGGTCTAACTCTGGGAGATCCGGCACCACTCGTTGGATCAGTCTTTTCATCAATGGTATGTTCGGTAGTGGTGGGTTTTAGAGAAAATTTCTTGAGAAAACCTACTATTATTATTTATTTATTTTATTATTATTATTTACTTAATTTATTATTTACTTTCAAAATGACCGGACCGACCACCCTGCGAGCAGAGCTTTTTTTTGTCTTGTTGATGGAGAAGAGGGAAAGGAGGCTCAGATCAATTAAGGTTTCTGGGAAACTGCCCACCTACCCCTCCCCTAAGTCATTATTTTGCCCTAAGTGAAAACTAATTGTTAATGTCAGTTTAGGGGAGGGGCAGGTGGGCAGTTTCCCAGAAACCTAAATTGATCCCAGCCGGAGGCTCTCCCTGAATCGCGTCAAACCTTTGAGGCAGCCGCAACCCAAACTTCTGAACTAGTCAATCTTGTTCTTTCTCGTCAAACTGGTTTTTTGGAGTGCGAGCATCAGTTTCTTGATAAACCGATGGTCATAACCGTGCTCGCTGTAGCAAGCGCACGGCTATTAGGCCTGGGTTCTAAACTACATCCTAACGACATGCAGCGCATGCTCAACAAAGATCTTACTTGATTTATGCAGAGAATAGGCCACTTCCGAGTTTCAAAAACCCTCACTTTCAAAATAAGGCCAAGTGCGCAACCTTTCTTATGAAAAATCATTCCCATATCAAAGGCTGAGCACCTAACCTCGTTTTGATACAGAGGCCCGGGGGAACTCGGAGATGGCCTATTTCTTGAGCACGCCAAAAACGAGCAAGTGAAAGAGTGCTGACAGGGTGCGGACCGGTCGGCCAAAAACTTTAAGTAAGCGCACATAACTTCGAACAAGATCACTAACTGCATAACCAAACTCTTACTGTATTAGTCTTCCTTCCTTATAAATTTGTTTCTATGAAAAGGCAATGTTTTCAAGAGGAGTCCCTGCGTTTATCACTCACTACAAGGCTATAATCAGTTACCGCAACTACAAAATACAAGGTAACTTTTCGAGTGGCTCGGTGTTCGTCAGAGCCAAAAAGACCCTATCATTCAACTGGCTCGGTAGCTCGGTACTCCCAACTGAAGAACCACCGAGCCGTCGAGCTACTAAAATATTAGACTACGAGCGGTCTCTCTTTTTTCTTAATCCGTCGAGCGAAACGTGCGAGACTCGAAAATGACCACACGCTTTTCTCGCGTCTCGCGGATTTGCCGATCGACGCTCGCTTCCCTTACTAAATCTGAAGAAAGAGAGACTGCTCGCAGCCTACTAAAAATTATACTTTCGCTTGTTCTTTAAAACTTATACTAATGATCCTAATTGCTAACACCTTATAAAGTTAAATATTTATCTTTCTCGTTTCTCGTTTCTTTCTCACGCCTAGCGAGCGACCGAGCCACTTCCGTTTAAGTACTTACAATTTGGCCCTGCATTCCGTAGCTACTCTAAGCAGTTCTTCACACGCAGTTATATGAGGTAACTACGCGAAACCCTCTTTCAGAGAACAATGATGTCTTCGCCACCATCTTCAGCAGCATTTGATACCTTTACTCGTTTTACACTTTTTAAATCTTGCTGTTCTTCGGCCGGTTCCGACTGTTCCGTTTCATCTGCTTTCCTCTTGCGGGATGGAACGGGTTCATCTACCACCATAACTTCGTCATTTTCACCTATTGAATTTATGAAATTTAAGTCAAACGGCGCAAACCCTGAACGTGAATAAGCTTTTCGTGCCGACACGAAAAGGTATCCAGTATAGGGTGAACAGCAAAAATACAGAACTAGAGCAAATTGTTCAAACACATCGAACATTGTGCCGGAGGGGTTGTTCGAGAGGGTTTGGTGAACTAAATCGTAGTCTTCACTCCTGAATATTTACTTCCGTCTCAGTGGATTCCATTCATCGCTCCTACTTATTCACTTCGGCTATTGTCCGAATACCACGCTGCACCAAAGAGTGTCACCGAACCTATCCGATATGTGACGCCCCACTTTCGAGGTCGGCGCGGAGCAGTTTCGCTCCGTTATAGAAATCGTGTGGAAATTACGGTTCTTATGTGTGAAAAGAAGACTTATTCGGTGTGGTTTTGGTGCCGGTACAAGAGCAGTCCCGTATAGTGTGACATAGCATTTTGGAAAGCCGTCAATCACAACCATTCCAAGATATGAATTGTATCATATCATTCCCGGCCATCAGGTTCTTGGGGTTAAACACGACTCGATTGAATAAGGATGTTTAATTCAAACAGAAGAATTTCCTCTCTCGCCGATTAACCCCCGGGCAAGCTCACACGTAACCGCTAAACCAAAAAGATGACCGAGCTTACAGATACATTTTTAAGGCATCAATTCTCTATTTTCCAATTGCCCATAATACACTCTGTTTGCCCCCCAAATTCTGCATAAACCATTGTTTTTAAATGCTCCTGGGAGTATTGCATTTTCCCAAGAGCATTTCAAGACAATAAATTATGCAAAATTTGGGGGGCAAACAGAGTGTATTATGGGCAATTGGATAATAGTCAATGCCTGCGTAAAAGTCAGGAGCGAAATTGCGTACAGGGTTACCAGGTTCAGAGACAGAGTAAACTCGTTCCACTGCTGACTCCCTCTGTTTTTAGCCTTCCGATCGATTATCTACACCTGGGTTTTGCTCAAAGGCCTAAATTTGTGGCAAAGCTATCAAGTGTGTTGATTTCCTCGCGTTAAATAACAGGTAACCCTAGCTGACGAGCTAGAATGCGTAGCTGTTTGGCCAGAGGGAAAAATAAAAGCTGCGAAAACGTGCGCGAAGTGCCTGAACGAGCGACTCATGGTCCTCGCGGCTTCGCCGCACGTTTGCGCACAAAACCGCGGGCTTCTCAAAAATGTGCTATGGGTACCTGTTCATATCATCTTTTTTCTAAGTAGAGCTAATGTTGTAAAATTGATCAGAAATCATAAAAGGGTCTGAAAAACGAAGGACACCACTAAAAGTCGTTGGAATTGGTCTAAAACGGCCGAAAATGCCAAGAACACGCAGTAAATAAAACGCATGGATGAGATAAGGCATTCAGTTGTAATTTGATTACTTACATTTACTACTAGTTTTTGATCCCATAAATACTCTTATAACTTAAGATCAGTTATGCAACAGTGATTCTCAAGCTCGACCTTGGGGTACCCGTGGATCAATTACACGTGTGTCAAAATATAAAGAAACACACATGCGAGGCGATGCTTTTCTTCCGAACGACGGTAACACACAAGTCACATCGTTTTTATTATTCCATGCAACATAACCAGATAAAAAAACACTGAGCTCACCGCTTTCAGCTTTTTCATCCGCCCGCGTTGATGGGCCGGGTTCAGAGGTCTGTGGTCCAGGGGCGGGTATATCTCCTTCCACTTCAAATTCTGTATCGTTTTCTAAATTCTCTCTGCAATATAACAGGCGCCTTTCTTAAAAGCGTACTTTCACATAAAGGAGCCGTGTCACAAAATTTATCTAAATTCAACCAGTGAGAACTGCCATCAAATTGCGAGAAACCAAAAAAATAATAATCGCCCAAGACGTTAAAAGAAGGTATGAATAACAAAGGAAATACATGTATTTACAGAGAAATCTTATGATCAGGGGTCCGACATTTAGCGGTCTTACATTCCGGGGTCTTACATCCAGGGGTTTTACATTCAGGGTCTTACATTCAGGAGTCTTACATCCAGGAATCTTGCATCCAGAGGTCTGACATCAACGGGTGTTACACCCAGGGGTCTTACATCCAGGGGTTTTATAGGCAGGGTCTTACATTCAGGAGTCTTAAATCCAGGAATCTTACATCCAGAGGTCTGACATCAACGGGTGTTACACCCAGGGTCTTACATTCAGGAGTCTTACATCCAGGGGTTTTACATTCAGGGTCTTACATCCAGAGGTCTTATGTTTAGGGGTCTTACAACCAGGGGTCTTAGATCCAGGGGTTCTTACATCCAGGGGTTCTTAAGTGAAGGGGTTCTTATATTCAGCGGTTTTTCAATTAGGGCTTCTTACTTTCATGGGTTCTTACATTTAAGAGTTCTTACGTCAGGGGCACCGAACGAGAATATCGTTCAAAACCACTTAAACATAGCATTGTTAGACGTATTTTAGTTTTTAAACGGTAGATATAGGCATATTTTTATCCCCTAAAAAAATTCTTCATCTTCGGATTTCCTAGCTGAAAGTCTAGTGATCCGAAAATTGTAGGGATCAAAACTTACCTTTTCGAAAATTTCAGCCAGAAAAAAGGCTTCCGAAAATTCTAGGTGACCTTTTTAGGGTACAAATCCGTTTTAAATGGGCAATTACACCATTTTTTAGATGTTCGAAAATTCTACGAGAGGCAGGCAAGCAAGAAATTTTACAACAAATGTTCCGAAAATTCTAGATCTCAAATCGTCTTCCGAACAGATATTTTCCGAAAAGTGACGTTGGGTGCCCCTGTTACGTTCCAGGCTATTAATGTCGGCAACTGAGCCTTCATCCAGCTAACAAGAGTTAATACCACTAAAAACAAAATCCTACTTTGTTGTCAACTTACTTGTGTTTCACGTTAACAACAAGTTGGTAGTTTTGAAGGAAATCATCAGCTTTCAGCCTTGCGCTGTTTCCCACAATGAATTCGCTTAGGGTCTTCGGTAAGTTTTCTGCAAATAAGGAAGTAAAAATCTTGCTGAAGTAATTCAACCTTAAGCAATTAGTCAATCAAACTAAAACTTGCAGTTAACTTTGGGCTGCCAGGAGGGTGGAAATCTGACGTAATTGAGAGAGAAGATTTGACATAATAAGGGAAGGATATATAGAATAATCAAATTGCAACAAACTCCTTTCAATTTTTCTTTTTCAATTAAGTGACGGTCCAGATAAGAAGGAAAGAACCAAACACAATGAACATGTGGGAATGCAGAAAGGTGCTCACTTTACTACTGTCCCTACTATATTTCTAAAAACAGCAAATTTGACGAAATCTTCGCAAAGCAGCATGTTTGTTAATCCTTTGTTTTCCAGCTTCCTCATAACAAAATCTCATTTGAATCTCGGTAACACAGAAATCATACGTGAGGAACATGTAAAATTGTAAACTTTTCTTGGCTATTTGTTGCAACTCTTGTGATTGGTTGAATCCTCTAACACACACACAAAAAACACCGTTTAAAAAGGAGTTTAAAATACAACATTATTTTATTTGGTATACTGCCATTTTGCAGGTTTATGCATTCTCTAAGTGAAAATGAAACATTCCTCTGTGAGGAAAGCGTGTTACACCAAAATAAAAGAAATTGCTTCCCGTCTTACCTAGATCATTACTTAATCAAGAAATACATGTACATGAAATATGAATGACAAAATGCAGTACCATTTCAAGACTAGATACTCTTCTCTGTTCGCCGGCATTTAAAAACAATTTCAAAGCTTCAGTCAGCCAGACAGAGGATGCGTTTGAGAATGGGATAGAGGAATAAGTAACTAACATTCCAGTTGGATCAATTGATCACTGATGAATGTGGACAATATGTAATGATTACAGGACTGAGTAAAATACAATTCAGGGAGTCATCGGGCAAGTAATTAAAAATTGGTCAAGCGCGTAGCACATGGATGGTTTGAAATTATAAACCCCATTACTCTGAATTGTAAAACACAAAATCCTATTACCAATTAATTGTGTCAATAACAAAAAGCGAGAAATTATTTTAGGATTGGAATATTATATTAAAGTGCAAAGTTCTTATTACACTGTACATCAGCTTACAGCTTCAAGATCAAAAACAGGGCTTACGGCTTTTGGAGAAACTATCAGGATATGGGGCTTTAAATGCATAAACCTTACTGCATCAAACTGAAGCTGGAAAACTAAATTACTGAAGTTTTGTTTCTTGGTTCGGATTTGCTAGCATGGACTAATTTGTTAAACCTTATTAGATAGATCCAAATATTTGATGCTCGATTTTCATTAGCTGTTCAACTGTCTGATTTGACCTGTCCGATAACAAGCAGCTTTTAATCGAGCAGGTCAAATAGGACAGTTCTGGTACTGCATCAGCCAAATCGAGCAATAAATATGGGCTGTTGAAAACCAATCAGACTTGAGAATTTTGTTAATGACAAATAATCATAACAATGTACGGTACAGCTACCTTCTGTTTCCCCCTCTTCGCTGGATATCAGTATACTGCCTAAGGACAGAAACCGCTTGGTTTAGTCAATACATGGCCAGCAACTACCGCAAGAAGCTCACAGACTAGTGATCCACACTTGGTCCACAAACACAATAACCATTGCAAAACAGTTGGCAAGGACAACAATGCCAGACATTCATGCATGTAGGAAGATCTCTCTGCGTCATACTCTCTGCAGGAATTCCCTTTTCAGTCAGTCCAGTCAAGGCTTAGCAGGACTGGAGAGTGCGGACAAATCAAAAGGGGAACAAGAGAGAGACTGCCTCCTCTTCTGTTTGCCTCAAATGAAGTTGTCCGACTGATAATAACGACCATCATGTTCCTGTTGGCCTCACTTAACTTTAAGGAACAATGAGTAGACTACAAGCAGTCTCTCCTTTTTCTTAGTCTATCGAGCAAAACGCACGAGACATGCAAATGACCACACCCATGACTGAAGGCGCAAGACCGGCCGCCTCATTTCTTGCGTCTCGCGGCTTTGCTGCTCAACACTTGCATGCACATGCACTCCCCTCACTAAATCTGATGAAAAAGAGAGACTGCTCACAATCTAACCAATGAGGGTCTTGGGAAAAATAAAACTCACTATTTTCCTGTGTCCAGTCATAAAGTGCTTATGGTACACCTTCAAACCTACAACAAGAGTGAGTGTACCAACCTTTGCCGTCATCTATTTCAACATCAGGTGCCACCATACCAAACCTTTCCTTAAGTATCTATAGAAACAACACATCCAAGCAATAATTTATTACGAATGTAAAATCAGTTATCAAACAATATAAATGTTGGAGGAAGGTTTTGTGATATCAGGAGTAATCAAGGTTGAGGTCAGTGTTGTAAGTCAAGACTGACAGGCACACCCTAACAATTAGGACAGTTATCTGCTGGCAGATAGCCATATCTTCAGTAACTAATCTTTAGGTTGAACTATAGTGAGTATAAATAATAACAAAAAAATGATATTGAAAGTGTCATAAATGTCTATAAGAAACAGCAGTCTTCAAAACTCTTTTCCCGTACATTTAGACATAATTTAAACAAGACTGCCAACTACAATGTGCAAAAGTTCAAATTACAAAACACTTAGAATATGCCTATTTACTTTTTTTTTGAGAAGTGCTACCTAAAGTAGAAACCTATGGAGAAAAAGTTGATACTCCACAAAGCTGATGTCATAGTTATTTTAAAAAAAATCATTATTTTATAAATTCTATTCTCCATTTTGTTATAAAACATGGACCTGCATAAATTATACATTTAGCACACTACAAGATAAACTCACCTTCTCTTCTAAAGTTTTGATTGTGAGGGTTTTAGTGTTTAAGAAAACATTCACCTGAAAAGAAAAAAATGCCTCAATCAATTCTCAAACTTTGAAGAGCAGTTTCTGAAGTAAATCAGGCATCTTGATTTCCTCATAAAATGTGGTTCTGATGCTAATTGACTCCAAGGACAACATGTCCAAGTTTAGCCATTCATTCAAAAGCTGACACACAATAATGGCTTTTCTGGGCTACCTACAGTGTTTGTCATTTTCTGAGATTAACATGGTTGCTGCAGCCAGAGGATTTTGTAATTCCCTGACTTTTTCTTGACAAATGTAAAATTTCCCTTAACATAACTCTTTAACATAACTTGTCATTCAATCTAGTGAACAATAACCTACCAATACCACATGATTTATGTCTGTAAAATGTACAAAAGACTTTAAAATGTTAGAAAACAACAAAAGTAGAGGGAAAAGAATACATATGTACTCTTAAAACCTCCCTGTTCTCTGACTTCTTTCAAAGATGAAATTTTCCCTGACTCAAAGCATTTGAAATTCCATGACTTTTCCCTGAACATTTCCTGTGGAAACCATGATTAAACTGTTACATCCTTTTTAACATCCTCACCTCTGGTTTTGCAGCACAAACATAACACTTGGGATTTGGAGGAACCAAACAACAAGGAACAAGCAGCTTCTTTCTTGGGTTAGGCTGACGATTAAGATAAATCTGCAACAACAGTGGATAGCAATGGACACTTATTGGAAAATCAAGATTTTTCATATTGTTTTATTAGTAAATAAATGTGTGTTTGCTTCTATAGATAGCACAGAAAACATAATACTGCTTTCAAATCCACTTGACAGTTCAGTATACAGTGTAGTGTAACTTGGGGTATGTGGACAGTGATTCAAGAATTAGAGGAAAATCTCAAGATAATAATACATTGAGTAAAGATTGCAGTTTTTGTAAAATAATATTTTTGGGCACATTGGCAAAAAGTATGATTTGTAAGTTGGAAACTCCCTTTACCAGCTGAAATGATTGCATCAAATTCCATAGCCAACAACAACAACACCAACAACAACAGTGACAGCAAGTTTATTTCAAATTAAATATAGCTTACAAAGCTTGTGCCCGCAATTTTAGCAAAGGCTATTCGAGGCGGGTACAAGAGAAAAAAGAAAATTGTATAAATATATATAGATACATGTTAAACGAACAATCCTAGAAGCAATCTAGTTTGTCGTGTGGTTTATAGCCAGAGTGAGACAGGAAGGCAGACTGTACTTCATACGGAAGTACACCATGTTACGATTTTGAGAATTGCCCTATATAGTCGTCCTCTTTTTCCAGTATTTCAAAGAGTTTTCTCTTTAGTTCGCCAGTAGTATAAAACAAAATGAGTTAGTTGGCAATAGCATAATACAGGCTGGATTAGTTGCAGTAAACAAGAAATCAGCTTTCTTCTGCTAAAAAAGGTGGCTGTTATTTTTTACTTAAATTTTTTTTAATTTTTATTGCTTTACTTCTTTTCCTGGGGATTTTCTGGAGCCAGAAAATTTCAGCTTAATTTTACTTTAAGTCCTTAAAAATACTAAAAATGCTTAGAGTGGGCTAATTTGATTTCAACACTTACTGTTTTACATTTGTCCAGCTTTCCACTTAGTATGTTTAGAGCTTGCATCACAATCACACCTGAAATAATGGCATTTGTTGTGGCAATTGCTGGTATAATATTCCCTGCCATGGCTAAAGAAAGAACAAGAAATATATCAGTCCATGTGCCAAATACCGGTAAACTCAGATATCCAAAGTAAGAAAATCATAAAAATTATGGAATGTCAAAACTACAAAAACACACATACTGGCCACTGTTGTTCAAGCATTGGATAGCGCTATCCACTGGATAAATCACCATACAGCAGATAAGACAGTATTGGCAAACAAATAATAATATATTAGAGATTTATCCAGTGGATAGCACTACCAGCCTTTGACCCAACCGAGGCCAGTTGTATGGGAATACTTGCTCAGGTCCCAAATCATAAAGGGGAAGAGGTCAGACACACAGAGATCAAAGTCACTCCTACATGAGTTATCCACACTCATAAATAAATAAATGCATCAACAGACAGGGACAACAGCTTTCCATGTATTTTTTCAAATGTTTATTCTACAATGAAAAGTTTCACACTGCAATTTTATTTTAACTGGAGAAGGATAACATCATTTAATTTTGATATTCTCATGAATTAAGGCGGGAGACAAAGGAAGTTGAGAATCAACCTAGGTTAAACAATTTTAACCTGAATATAATTTTGACCTGTAACATATACATGTCATAATAATATTATGAAAAAAATTTTAATGTTTTTTGTTTGCATAGACAAAAATAATAATTTTTTGAAAATAATAATGAGAGGGTTTTTTGAAAGATATTGTTAGTTCTTAGTCAACTGAAGAATAACATGGATTTTTCTTTCCAAACCTTTGACATCAAAGCGACTCCTGATAGGAATGCTAAAAATGTGTGCCCGGATATTTGCTGCACTTGTGACAAAATCCATTGATGCTGGATCATCCTGTGCATAAAAATGAAAACAATGGTGAAATGACACCAATCTCTTCTAGCTAGTGAAAAAAAGAGTCTAGTACATACAGAAAAGTGAACTTGGAAGACTGTGAAAGTCTAACATATATGTAACCCCCAGACACAATTCTGTTCATTTTGGTAAGTTATTAGAGAGATGTATTAAATCACTATTATGGCAAACAGCAAATTAACCAAATGCTGATTTGCACCATTAATTTGTGATCAACTTTTTCCTTCACCTGTCGTTTACTGTGCAAGATATCTATAAAAACATAGTAGTTTCACGCCAATTTCATACATCAAAATAGTTTGCACAGTTTTTATCTGTTCCATTTTGAGAAATCATTAACTTGAATTTGACTTTTGCTGTTTGCTGTAAATGTGACTAGATCTCTCTACAGTAAAAAAACCTTATCTAAACATTGTTTATAATTTGAGTGGAGTATCTGTAAACTAACAGCTAAAATTGATTTCCTTTGTAACATTATAGAACATTTTTTAGATTGAAGACATTGTCATAAAACATTTAGTCGTGTACTGGAAGCATCTCACCCCTCCTTGTAACCATTATTAACCTGGGTGTACCTGCACCTAATCAATGATATTTTGTGACCTGACTTTGCAATAAAAAATCATCAATCATCATGCAACTAATTTAGTTCACTAAACACTGACCTTATCCCAAACAAGGTCTTCTCCTCTTGCAAGTAACTGTTGTTTTAAAGTATCCACACTAAAACAAAACCAAAAATTTCATTATTCTATAACAAAAAGTGCTACTAAAGTAACAATACTGTATTGTAAGCGTGCTCAAAACAAAAATGGAACTTAAGTGGCAAAAAAGCAATACCAACCTCTGTCTAAATATGCTAGCACACTCCTCGGGACTCCAAACTCTTTGGTCTTGAAGCCCATTGTCAGAGTCTTTTTCCTCGTTATTGTATTCTGCAGAACAAAATAATTATTCATAAAACAATTCCAGTAATCTTTTAAGAGATCAGTCAGTCCAGGGTGTTCATACCTGTGCCATCAGCAACTCCATTTTAAAGCAAATAGTAAAATCTGTCGCAAAACAAATGCTTGAACATGGCTAGAGCTCATCAGACTTGATTGTTTCAAAATATCGCGGACAGAAGTTGGTATAAATTTGGAGGTAAACTGGCTTTGTTTATATGATTTGGCAAATTTTTTACGAGCAAAGCAAACCAAGATAAGATGTAATGTTTGTTTTAACTTTTCTCTTTTAATTTAAATCTAAATCATAGAGAAATCTGGTCGCCATTTGAAGTGGTGATGAAACCAGATTTTTTAGTCGCCAAGGAGAAAATGTTAGTCGCATTGGCAACTGCATCAGTCACAATTTCGAGCCCTGCTGAAGCAAACTGAGTAATGGCCACACCATGTGAGCAGAGCCTCCTCTTGTCTTCTCCAGTAAGTTGCTGAAGCCTCAACCTCTGGACTTGTCATATTGTTCTCTATCTTCACACCAGTTCTCTGAATGCAACATCCTTTCATTGATAAACTGACGGTCATAACAGAGCCCGCTGTACCAACCACCAGCAATTAGGCCTGGGTTTGAAACTGTATCCTACAGCAACATGCAGCACATGCTCAACAAAGATCTCGCTCAATTCAAGCAAAGTCTTTTTTGAGTACGCCAAAATCGAGCAAGGGAAAGAAGAGCTCTGCTAGTAGGGTGAAATGATCAAAGATGAAACATTTTGCTCCTTCATCTTAACCCTTTCTTTTTAAAGCCCAAGAGTGACAAACATCAATTTTCTCTTTTACAGTTATTAATAAACAGTCAAAAGAGAAGGTTATGAGAATGAATAAAATGATCATCTAAGGGAAAATGCCTTGATCTATTATAAATTCTCTCAACTTATCTTTAAGGAAATGTATGGATATCAGTCTGGAGAATTTGTATGTTAATATCGTGGCTTGAAGAGTTCAGTGGCCACGTAGTAGACCTCACCTGTCTGAATATTTTCCCAGTCTAAAGGAACAGGAGGTTTTCTCTTCCTCCATAATTTGTCCATGGATAAAAGATACTTTATGTCTTCATTAAACAACTATAGAAGAAAAAAGAATGATGATATGTATTATTTATTAATTAATTACACCATTCGTTAATCAGTACATGCAACTTGCCTTATTAATTCATTGTTATAATAAGTGTAACAATAAAATATTTCACTTTATCAGATCAGCTTGAAAAACACATTTTGCTCCAAATGAATTTATTATGAACATCAACAATTTGTCCTATATAGTACAAGTGTTACAATTGTTTTAAAAATGTACTTTTGTAATTATAAATTCTCGCAAAAATAGACTTGCCTGTTGAGCAAGTTAAGAACAAAATTCACTGGCCCAATTGCAGAATTCCCTAGACCCAGGCTTAATCACACATGTCTTTCTTTGCATGCTGTAATCTACTACTCACTTTGTTAAATAATCTGACAGGGTCATATCCTATCTCTTCGGCCCATGATCTTGTAGACGCCCTCTCTATACCTCCAGTGGCATTTTCCTTCTCTTTACTAGTTACTGCCCTCTCTCCAGCCTCTCCTACAGCCTCTGGATCTTCAGTGTCAGGAGACACTTCTTCATCAGCATCTGCCTCACCAAACAACTGGCTGTGTAAATATCAAAAGGCTAACAATAGACAACTGTTTAACTGTGACAATAGACGGATTGAAGTACACCAATTACTGATTACAAGTCTTCATAGCCAATATAAACATCATGGCTTAACTGACAGACGACCAATAACATCGCGACGTAATTGACCAATCAAATCAATAACCAGAGTATAATACCATCAACTGACGTGATACAACTCACATTGGCTCTGAAGATGACTACCGCACAGGTTGTCAAAACGTCAGTCACTGTCAACAACAACATTCCTATTCAGGACTACGTTTACCCGGACGATCAAACTCAACCTACTTTTGAAATGACTGCTGGGTTCAAACCCTTCACAGTATCACAATTATTACTAGTAAAAACCAAAGATTACAGAGTAAGGGGGACAATGATCCAAGGTCAAAATGCTTTTGCTCCCGCCCTGTACTTTGCATAAGTTTCACGTGACAGATGGTCAAAACAAGCATGATCAGATTACGAGTAATAGAAGGTCCAAACGTGCATGGTCAAATTGCTTTCTGTGTATTCCATTCATTCTTAGTGGAAGCCCAAACCAATGCTGGCTACATACTTGCGACGCATGCATAATAACAACCTGGAGATTAGGCTTGCGGGCTCCTCTTGTCGCCCGCAATTAATGTTATGTCAGGCCAATTAAGTTTCAGTAAAATCCTATAGCCACCATAATGGTGATAGGACTGGGTGGAGCTGTCCAATTCTGTCTGTAAAAGTGATTAACAAATGGGACAACCACATTTGTCTAATTACCAGTACAATTACAGACTGAATTGAATAACAGAAAGTTCTGTTACCAATAAAAAGTTAAAATATTAAGTTTAATAATAACTATTACAAAAATTTGTGATATTTAAGCCTAAAACTCAAGATCTTCCAAGAAAGTGAAAAATTACCCATTAAAGTTCACACATTATGGTTCATACTGTCCAGTTTCTCGGGCTCAAAATGTTTGACTGCATTACATCAATAAAAATGTAAAATTGAAGTTGGCTTACTTGAAAAGATGTTTAGCCCAGACAATACAGTGTATAGGTTCTGAAGGAGTATTTCTGATTGTACAGCCGGGAAATGTTTTCTGTGTTGGTTTGGGCTGACACTCGTAACACTCCGTGACTCCCTGTAGAATAATGTTCTATTAGTAAGTGTTCATACATGTACATGAGGTAAACAGAAACTTTTAAATTGTTATCTAAGACTGAGTGGGTAGGTTTGCTCTAACTGGAAATGATTCAGAAAAAAGGTTCACTTAAATTGAGGGTTAATACTGTTTTTCTTTGGAACAGGTCCAGCTTGGAAAGTTGCCAGGACTATCCCAATTCAATTAACAAAATACAAGTACACTGTATCATGACCATTCCCACTTTCATTTTCAAAATTTCATCCTTAAAGTGGAACAAAGTGAAAGCATTCCACAGCACTGTAAAATTTCACTTGCTTGCATAGATTTTTGGAAATTAAGTCCAGATAACTATTTTGGTTGAGTATATGTACATTGTAGCTCTTGTCTCTCCAATTTAAAGAAATACCGTAAAATTCCAAAAATAAGCCCCAGGGCTTATATTTTTCAAAGGCCCTTTTTAAGGGGCTTATTTTTGGAGGGGCTTATATTTGGAGGGGCTTATCCACGGAGGGAAATTTGCGTCTCAAAATCGATTGGACTAGCCTTATAGTTGGAAGTAAATTTAATTATCTTTTTTGCTTTGTTTTTCATTGTATTCAAGGGCAACATTCCAATTACAAGCCCCTGGGGGGTTTATATTTGGAGGGGCGATCTAACGGAGGGGTTTTCACGTTATGGGTTTGGGGGGCTTATATTTGGAGGGGCTTATACGTGGAGGGGCTTATTTTCGGAATTTTACGGTATTAAAAGTACACATATTTTGTTACTTTTCAGTCTGTGAATGAAACCAGGTCATGTGACTTTTGCAATAAAAGCTCTTCAGCAGTACTTTGTTATGATACTATTGATTCTGCCTTCTAAACTTGTTCTAACTTTTGAGTCTCTGTAAGAAAACACAAGGCATAACAATTTTATACCTTTTTAATAACAGTTGCCTGGCCAAGATATCCAGCTGTTCCGCTTTCCACGAGTGGCACATCAGCTGCCAGACACATTCTATTCACATGGTTTCTTGCAGCTATTATTTTTAAAAAATATAATAAAAGCAACATACTAGAGTGTCCTTCTTTCAGATTACATGTACTTCAAACATTATTTACAGTAAGGGCTCAAACAAGGTCCTGTCTGGTCATCCAGGACATGTAACAACTACAGTGCATACACTGTAGATTATAAGGGTTCCTGCAGATTTTTGGATCCAAAATTCAAGACATTTTCTCCAGACTCGAGGTCATCAAATGGGTGATCAATACAGACCTTAAAAAGTGCAGGAACAAAGCTCTTTTACGATGCACTACAAAATGTATGGGGGAGATTGAAAAAAATTTTACCACGATGAAAAAAATGCAACTTGTAAAGCACTTGCTGTAGCTTTGAAGAAAACTCAAGACTTTTTACTATTTTCCAGACTTTATTTCTATTTTTCAGACTTTTCCATGAATTCAAGACTCTGTACGAACCCTGGATTTTCCTGCTGGACAAGTACTCTTTTATGCTCACTTGTTAATGGGCAAGGAACCATGCAAATAATCTTCTTACTAATATTAATTTATTCATAAACAATGCAAGGATGCAACAGGCCCAGGCAGGCTTAATTTGAGAGATACACTGCTTGTCCTAAGGACAAGCTGATTGGCCCTTACAGTGCATTTTTTCCTCTTCTTCTTTTTAACAATGAACAAAATGAGGAAAACACCTCACCTCTGTTGTCCAAAGCATTCATGACCACACTAAACTGCTTAAAATAATCCAGTCCATACTCGGAGCTATGAAAACCAAAAAAAAGAAAATACAAATGTAAACAAGTGCACTCTACATCTTCATTCTACATATCAATAAATTCATTCACTGGTCCCCAGACATGGGTTTGCTGATGAGCCTGTAATTCTCTGCACCTCAGCGCTGGGTGCACAGAAGTGCCATTATTGAAATAGGCCAATCAAAAAAGAACTGTTCAAATTTACAGGGCATATGTATCTCACATAAATATTAGTGGGAATGTTGTTCAGTTTAACATTAAAAGGATATCAAAGATTGTGGAGGAAAATTTTGAAAATGTTTGCTTATTAATTTTGCTTGAATTTATTTGTTATTTATTTTATTTTTACATATTGTTGTTGATATGTTGACAACAAGGAGAAGCCTAACATGTGTACTCAGCTAGAGGTGTGGTGGGAAGAATAGCAGGTACATCAAGAGACTCACTGCTGAAGAATGAGTGTACGTATACATGTATAGTCTTGGCACATACATGCAGGGTACTTAACAATGACTATCTTTTAACATCAGATGATTCATACCTCATTATATTATCATGATGAGCTTTGATATTTGCATCAGGATTGAACCTAAGGGCACTCTCGCGAGAAACCTACAATGTTAAAAAAATGATCTTTATGCAACTTAAAGGCTTCGACGTTAGTAAAACCATCCCAATCAAGAAAAAAGAAAACATCATATAATGCAGTTACTAGAAGTATGTATCTTAAATTTTTCACTGCTTACTACCAGACCTCTCTCTTCCAAAGAGGCCTCTCTGTGTTGTGGGGAGGCTGGGGAGAAAGAAAAAGAAAGCGCGCAGGGCATTCCTGTCGTCCCCGACGCGCTTTCTATTTTTTCCATTATTGCTATTTTCATAGGGATACCCTGTGGGAGCCTCTGCGGAAGAGAGAGCTACCAGACTTCTACAGGTGATGAGGCCAACTGTTTGCACAACAGCATTGTATTATGACAATCAGCTTTTTTGGTAAGATAGAGAAAGTGTTTTCTTAGTGGTTCAACTATTATTAGGTAATGCATAATCAGTCAACTTTATCACCTCAAAATGAACAGCAGTGTACAGCTGACATGTCACAACCTACATCTCAAGGGAGTACAACACAGTGGCAGATCCAGGGGAGGGACCTGGGGGGGCCGGACACCCCTCCCCCCTTCTTATTTTTAGACTAAAGTGAGGCCTGATGGGCTCAAAAAAAATTTTTGGGGCGACAGCCCCCGCCTTATCTCAAAGTCTAGATTTGGCACTTCAACATGAGACAAACAATAAGACTCTTTACCATGAACACTCAGAATCCTTTCCTAAACATACATCTCAAATAAATCCAGCAGGTTTCTTTCCACGAAAATTATTAAGTAATGATCCGGGTAAGGTAGATAGCAATTTCTTTTGTTATGCAGCAACGGTGCTTTCCCCACATAGGAATATTCTCATTTTCACACAGAGAATGCACAAACCTACATGAAGGCCGTTTACGCAATAAAATGCATTTACACTCCACTTTGAAAGGGTGTTTTTTGTGTTAAAAGATTTTGACCAATCACAAGAGTTGAAAACAATAGCCAAGGAAAGTTTACAATTTTACATGTTCCCCACATAGGATTTCTTTGTTATTCAAACTGAGACCAGATTTTTGTTATATGGAAGATGGTTGGAAAGTAAGGATGAATATATGTACCGCTTTATGAAGTTTTGTTAACTTTTGCTGTTTAAGCCAATCAGAAGTAAGTACAGACAATAGAAAAGTTAGCACCTTTTTTGCATTCCAACATGTTCGTTGCCGTTGTTGCTATCGTTCTTATCTGGACCATTTCTTAATACACTAAAAGTACCTGTGCTTTGGATTTTCCAACATGTCTTTTTTGAAACAAGAACTGGCGATTTAAGTTACTAACATCAATGGTATCCAAGTCAATCTGAGAAAAAATTCAATACAAAAAATTATTACTAAAAAACTAATACACTCAACTCTCACTTTGCGGACACCCTAATAATACAGACAGCAGCTAAATCCAGGCAAAAATAAATTACAGATGTTTGACTGAAATAAACTCCTGCTATTATGGACTCTCGCTAATGAGGACACTAACTCAAGGTTCCTCAAGGTTATAACTGTAGAGTAAATTTTAATTGCAAATTTTGCATTTATATATACACAACACTATAAAGGGACTCGACTTAAGAATACTGGTTAGTCAATGCCAAGGAACCTCTAACACTTTGAGACCAGCAAGTATTTACAGACAATCTGAATGTCTGTGAACACTAAAAAATAATGAAAAAGCTGCTGCTTCTGATGATTATGATGATGATAATGAGAAGGAGGAGGATGACAATGATGATGAATGAGTATAATAGTGCATGATGGTGATAATAAGTAATGGTAACGGAGTCCAATTCGGTTTGTAATCACACAAGTGAAAAAAAAAGCCATTTAAGCATGCTCGTGATGGTGTATACTATCCAATTACTTAGGCATGACGTGTACTGTCCAATTAAACAGTCCAGTTAAGGCTGAAATCAGGGCAGTTGATAGCCAATCAGATTTGAGAATTTTGTTATGGTTATTACAGCTAATTTTTTTTTAGTTACACATACATTAATTAATGCCCCCTTCCTTACATGTGCAAATTAACAAAAACACCTGTTTTGAGCATCTTTCACCAGGTATCTGTGCTTTGGATTTCACCGCCACGACACAGCGACTGTGCAAACCCCGCATACTACACTGACAGTCTCAAATTACAATTTCCGCTCATCGTGCATGTTGATATCGATAAATCACAACTAGATGTGGCTTTAAAAAAGCTAACAGATTTCTGCAATGATTGATGAAATATTCTCGTTTCATAGTTGAAATAAAACAACAATTACCGGAATCAATTAAGCGATGTACAGCACATGCTTAGCACATAGCCAATTCCGCTAAATTCAACTTATCTTCCTCGATCGACTGACGTAAAATTAACATCGGCCTTTTCGAATACTCACCACTTCTATATCTTTAAAGCCAGTTAAAACCAAATTTTTCAAAAGTTCGCAACCAATACCACCTGCTCCAACCACCAAAACTTTCGAATTCTCAACACATTTTGATAAATCAGTTCCCAAAACATCACGATAAACAGCCGAAGTTCCCGCCACCGTCGCCATCTTGAAAATTCCCTCGGCACAATTTATCTGTCAGCGGTTTTCTTTAAAAGAAAACATAACTTTACCAAGCGAGTAGTAGACCTGAACAAAACTGGGAATTGGTTTCTCTGACTTAATATTCTTCAAAATAACGTCTTTTAACTCTAAAGAAAGACAATATTCCATCATTTTCTAGAGCAGACTTGGTTTTAGCTTACACCTGTTTCTTTTCAGAAGAGGTTTGAGTATGACAACATATTGATGTATACCCCCTCCCTCAGAATAAATTTCGCACATCAACAGAAAATGTTCTGATTGGCCACTTTGTGTTTTGGCGCTTAATTTGTCTACTCTGGGGGATAAGAGATCAAAATGGCAAACGATTCACGTCGACATGATTTGTGCAAATTGCTCAACAAATTTAAGAAGGAAGAACTTCTTCGTGGACTTATTGAACGAGGTTTCTTGATGGATGATTCGCTAGACACAGAGGGAACGAAAAAATCTTTCGTGAATCGAATTGTGAAGAGCTGCTTCCATGGCGAAGTGAAGACTGACCAAGTAGCCTTAATGGATTTATTGTGTAAGCAAGTTTCTTTGACTTGTGTTTGCTATTCTCTACGATACTTCTAGTATTTGAAATAGTGCTTATTACAAGGTATTTTTTGTCACTTAATAGTTGATGAACAGACAGAGTAGCCAGACGTTTCCTGGGTTTCTTTGAGAATTTTTAAAGAAGAAAAGTGAAATTTATATCCATAAATTATATATCATGCATGTTATCTATATTAAATGTTATTCCAGTACTTGACACGAAAACAAAAACATTGATTGTACTGCATTTCAGATCATCAAACACATCCTCATTGCAAGAAATGGAATGTTTACAAGCTTGTAGGTTTTGGTAAGTGGAGAAATGACGATGGGATCAACATGCTTGTTTACTGTATAGTACCACTGAACGGCAATGACATCTTTTTAAAAATTCAGTCATAAATGGTAGTACATGTAGCCCATATTTCAGACATTCCTTTGAGTCATATACTCTTCTCAGAGGAGTACGCGACTCATGGTAGCTACAGATTACTGATACAGATTGAATTCTACATTGACAAACACCTAACATAGACATAAGTAGTCTATTATTCAGACTCTTATACTGCTGTTATTTCGGGTTCAGTGTCAGTGCAATTCTCAGCTGGCAGAGCTACGTTTGGCAACCTGATAAGCAGACGGCCCCTACTTATGTAGACAATAATAAATTTATTATCTACTCCAGAAGAGAGCATACAAATAGTCCACTGTATCCCTGGTCATCCTTATCTAGTGATGTTTCACTGGTCATTTCTAGAACTAACAGTTAAATTCTATATTGTATGTTGAGATGGGGTGGAGCCTCCCCTTGTTAACCATCACAGGGAGTATCCCCCTTCCTGGGATGCTGAGGAGGAAATTAACTCATAAATTCACTTTCATAAAGGAAATAAAGGGAGATGTAAAGAATCAACCACAAGTGAGAGGACACAGAAAAAATCTGAGCACCAGATGGGATTCCAACCCAACACCCTTCTTGTTGTAGAACACAGAGGGTAGTGGGTTCGAATCCCATCTGGAGCTCAGATTTTTTCTGTGTCCTCTTTTGGTTGATTCTTTACATCTCCCTTTATTTCCATTGTAATACTAATATCAGTGGTATAAATTCACTTTCAGTTCCTGAAAAAGTGCTGAATACATCTGATCCTCTGGCATTTAAATCTCAATTGGAATCCTGTTTAGGACTCTACCTTAGAGTGGTTAGTAAAAGTACTGAAAACAGTATCTTTATGGGTCTTACTTGTTTCAGCATTTTTGTCAACCCCAAGCAAGGACCAAAGCCAAGAATCCTTTGATTCTGTTAGGGTTATTTTGCATCAGAGAAAAGAAAAAAATCAAGGTGTTTTACAATAACATGCACTACATACTTCATTAAAAGAACCCCAAAAACCCCTTAAAAATTGGTGGTGTTGCAGGATTCTCTGGAAGCTTTAGTGACCAGTGAAAGTGATTTCACAGTTGAGCTAGTTACTTAAAGAAATGACTTTTAAGTGAGAATTTTAATTTAAAAGTAAATCCATTGGTTTGTTTCTCACCACTTTAACACTTTGTTCAACAAAATAAACACATAAAACACAAAATAAAGGAAATAAATGTTGTGGTATCTTCATGGCTAAAATTTGTTCCCTGGTTGTCCACATCTTTTTATCTAATCCATTTGCCCTGCTTTAAAGTTTCTGGACAAAGCTGGTGTTTTCTAGCTTTTCCATGGTCTTTTTGAGGGTAGGGTAACATCTAAATGGCCTGCAGAGGTATGATAAACATTTTATGTATGTGCATGTCTGTCCCTTTCTGTCTTTTTCAGTTTTTATGAATTCTTTCTCCACCACAAGCAACTAGCTAATCACAAGACTGCACAATCCTGTACAATAATGTTAATGCTTTTAATAGATGTGCTGCATAAAACAATGTTTAATAATTCCATGTCCTTGTATTTTAATTTTGGTTCCAAGCATGTCTTTGTTAACTTGTGGAAAAACAGTCTGTGGACCTGGCTTCACATTTACGAGCGAGGCTCACCCAGCAGTTTACTGGCCAGCAACACTGTGTTCCTAGTCTACTATCCTAATGCTGAATATATCTTCATGTCCACCATCAAAGCTGCCCATAAACAGTACATCTTACAGGTAGAGGAATATGACATTAATAAGCAGCTCTCTAAATTTATAATTTATTATAACCAAACACTTGAAGCTTTCAATAGTTCAACTTTCCCTTCTGATTCCCTCTCATCTACTGTATTTCCCCATAGTTGTTACAGTGGAAACTCGATTATCCGGACTCACTGGGACTTGAGTAAATAGTCCGGATAATCGAAAATATGAATATTAATGAGACAATAATGTAAATATAGGAAATATAGAAAACAGAATTTAATTGTGAATTAGCTCCTACTTGCATTATTTTATGTATGGTCTAAATTTATTATGTATTTACAAATAAAAAAAGTTACTGTTTCATGTGTTCATGTTGGAAACAGATTAAAACAGTGTATTAATTGGAAGGATTTAATGAAAATTTTAATTGTTTCAAATTTTGAAGATCACATCTTAATTATTAATATTCATGAAAAAAACAGGACCAGGGAAACATGTCCGGATAATCGAGGTTCGACTGTATACAGTTGTAGCTCGCAAAAATGTACATGTGTATTAAAAGGAAAGGGGCCCAAATTAAGTAAAACATGCCCATTACAATAAACATTCACTGTAGTTTCCCTGTTCCTTAGCACTTCATTATGTTGGGGTTCCAAAGTTCTTGCTGAATCTGGACATAAGTTTTTAATCTAATAACTGATCAAACCCTGGCTATATTGCCTGTAAGTACACTGTATGGCATGGGCAAGTAAGGAGATTCTTAGATCATCACAAAATGCCAGAATTAACAGTGCTGTCATGAATTCACTGACAAAAATGTTGCTGTTATTACATACCAACCCAATATTTCTACTTTATTTTTAATTTACATCAGGATTTCTATCATAGCATTGTAACTGTCAGTCCACTTTTATAACTTATGTAAGCAAATGATATCAAAATGTTCTTTCCTTTGTAGACACTTTCATCTTTGCTGCACTGTCAGACTCTAGAAGAAATCAAGTTGTCAGGAAGAGATGTGTTGTCACTAAAGGAGCTTGTGCTCAACAAAAGTAGTCAGGTAAAGGGACATGGCAGCACACCTACCGATAGTAAGCTTACTTTGAAGTTCAGTAGTGTTAGTTTATTACAAACAGCCCAGGCTTTTGTTAGTGTTAGAATACTACTCTCTTATTCAGAAAGAGTAAAACTTGAGGTTTCACAGAAGTAATGTACTGCACAATAGTACCGTTCTATGGATAGGCAGGGGTTTCAATAAGCACTGACAGCTGTCAAAACGGGTCGGCTACTTTGCTCATAGAGGTTCATTGCTTGTAGGAATTGATTGTGTGACTGATACATTGAAAGCTACATGTACATTTTTTCAATGAAAAACATGCTTTTTCGTCCTCAAATTTAGTCCCCAGAATGCTGAAAATTGCATTTTAGGGCTTTTAAATTTCAAAATTTTCAAAATTACTTTATTCAAACCTGCTGGCTACTTCAATTTTTAGTGAAACCTCTGGATCGGGGTAACTCAAATTTCTTAATGATTGGTTTCTAGCAGCACGGAATTGATCGCTAATGGGGCAGAGTCATTTCTAAACAGTAGGTATCATCAGGGTGTATAAGATTCATCAATACAAGCAAGGATGTAGAACATGTAGAGGGTTCCTAAGGTGCTTATGAGCCCCCCCCCCCCCCCCCCCCCCCCCCACAAAAAAACAAAAAACAACCAATTTTTTTTTTTTTTTTTTTTTTTTTTCTTTTCGTATGCCTAAACTAAAACAAAAAAAAAAAAAAACCCAAAAACCACAACAAAACAAAAGAAAAAAAACAAAAAAAGAAAAAAACATAACACAAGCATAATAATTATATAAGGGTGTAAAAGATGAAAAAAAAAAACAAAGAATGAAAAAAATGAAGGGGTTCCCAAGGGGGCTTTGGGCCCCCCCCCCCCCTCCCCTAATGGGTAAAATCAATGCAAGCAATACCGTTTTTTCTGATCTGATTCTTTCAGGGTGCCTTCAGCAAGTACAGATTAAACCAGATTGAAGGAAACCCTCTCAGTCGAAAAAGAAAGCGAGAAAAAGGTTGTAATTGAAACACATTCTTCAGGTCTATTGCATTACTGTTTTTTAGTACCCCCCTGAAGATGTTTTGATTGTGAACACCTTTATTATTGTGTATTCCTGTGGACGCATACATACAAAAATAACTAATATCCAAGTCATGTCATGAAATTATTTTCTTCAAAGACTCTGCAGTTGGTCGCACAAGTCCCTTTTTAGCTCAAAGCGTTTTTAGTGCCTATGCGCTCACTCTGTCTGAGAACTCAATGGATCTACAAGAATAGGCGGACTGCAAGCAGTCTATGTCATGAGCCTTAGGGACACTCCCTTATTACACAGACTATAAGCTTTAAGGAGCTATAAGGTACATGTGGGGTAAGGGTCTCTTTTTTTCCCAGGTCTTAAAAGTCCTGATTGTATGATTGGTGCAGCAAAGCAAAGTTTTAAAGTGAACAAATGAAAAACAGCTTTAAAATACAGGGTCTTGAGGGGAAAATATATCTCGAGATGACAATTTTGGTCTGAAGCAGTACATCCTTAGCCAAATTTTCCAGGAATACGTCCCAATGGGATAGAAGTTTGGGTGCTAAAACCACACTGAGCCAATTAAGGAAATAATGGAAAGCTAGACCATCTATTATGCTCTAACACCAAAATTCTAGCCCTATACTCCCCAGATTTCTCCATGTCAAAAGTCAGTCAAAATCCAAAAAATAATGTATTTTGTGTTTGGGGGGCTATATACACTGCACTTTAAACTGGCATTCTAAGAGTTGGAGCCCTATGACATTGATAGTTTCTCAAAACAAACTCCTGATTACAAACTCATGAAGACAGTGTTGAGAAATAATTTGGAATTCATTCACATTAATAAATGCATTTCTTAGTAAGTTTCTCTGTCCACATGGGAATTCTTCCAGGAAGTTATTACACAGTTTTTTCCCCCTTCATTTTAAAGCAGAAGTAACAATGGAAGTTCCAAGTCAGGAAATCAAGAGTGAAAACAAAGAGGAAGAACAGCAAAGACAACAACTCACAGATAATGCATTTGGTCCTAATCCACAGCCTGTTCTTGAAAAAGTGGAATTTAAGGTTTGCTCTTCCTACTACCAGTAAAATAGCCTGCATAGCAGGCGCTGGTTATCTTTTTTAAAGGCTGCGCAAGGGGAGCGCGCCCTAAAAAACAAAATGGCACCTGTTATGCAGGCTACCAGTAAAACGATAATGGTTACACAGTACCTGTAGAGGTGTGATCAAGGTTGGGTGAAACCTCTTCAACAATAAGAGTTATTTGACTTTTATTTTCCACATGCTTTATCAACAACCACCGATATGAAAATAATGTTGAATTTCTTTATCACCAGTCCAGGGGTCAACAAAACTCGATTGGACAAGAGCAGTTTAATCCTCATAACTCACAGAATGAGAAAAGTTTAGTTGCAAGGGTTGATTTGATCCAATCTGACCCAGGTTTTGTCTACAGCCCAGCAGTCTCTGAAAAGGAGCATTTACAATGTACATATAATAAGTAATTTACACCACTGGGTTTTATTTGCAGGTGCAGGAGTGGGTGCGACTCAGAAGGTTTTAGAATTGGGGTATAGCAGGGTTTGAATTCTAGGACCTTCATTTTAAGTCACACCTGCACTTAAAAACAGACAAGAGGCATAGAACTTATTTCAGCGACCTGTTACTACATGATATAATTTACCACGCACTAAACTTAACTCAAAACCTTTAATATCCACCACACTGAATGCTGGAGAAAATTGTTCATGTACCTCAAAAAAATAGCAACATTTCATTAATTTTGTTCCACGATCTTGTTGACTAAGGTAAAGTGAGAACATTAACATGGCTTCAAAGGACTTCTTGCAAGTCAGGAGCCCATGTTACAAGTCGATGAATACTTTTTAAAATGATTTACTTGAACTGTGAAATAGGTAGTAGAATACTACCTACTATTATGCACTAATTCTGTTGTCTTCTTTTGTTTACCCAGGGTGCAAAGAAAATTTTTACAGCTTGCCATTCGGGCAAGCTGAAACTAACATTTACTAGCCCATGCAACATCATTTCAACTATGCCCCAAAAACGTTTTGATGAGCAGATTAATTTCACAGTTCTTCTGTAATTTGAATTCCTCAAAAAACTTCACTTGCCTGTTCGGCAAGTTAATAACAGAATTCACTAATGCGATAGCAAAATCCACCAGCCCCGGGCTATTGGACACTACTTTCTTTGCACGCTGGTTTACCTCTCGCTATTTTGCACTATTTGTTAGTATTTGTTTCACGGTTCAAGTAAAATCACTCTACCCACATGTGTCTACCACACACATGTACTAATTTACTGAAAACTTTGTTTTAAGATGCAAACAAAGTTACGCAGTGGTGACCAACACTTGCCCTGGCAGCTCAACAGACCCATATCCTGCAATGTTAGATTTGAAGGACCAAGTGTCATAGAAGGAATAAAAAATCTTGGAGCACAAAGCTTTGTTGATGTACCCTTGCCATCCTACCTGGCCAATCTCCATTCCCAGTCAAAGAACTCCTTCTTCCTGACAGAGACGAAAACCACCAACCCTGCAACTGGCAGTACTCAACAACAATAAGACAATGGAAACTAGACAAGTCATTTTTTTACTATTAACATTAACTTTTTATATTTTTAGTTAACAGCAGTTTTAATTTTTATATTTTTAGTTAATACACGTTTTCAAATACAAGTAGACATTGCACATGTAGTCGTAATAGTATTTAAGATGTTGTACAACAAGAGACCATGAACCATATGTAAGATTTCTTAGTTTTTAGCTCTAAGTCTACAAGAAAAGACAGGCAACTTTTCAATTTTCAAACTTAGTCAGTGATGAAAAAATTGGCCAAATAGGAAAATACATACCACTGGTGGTGCTTCATGTAAACCTGACTTTTTCATTAAGTTTTGTTCTTATGCATGAACTGCATGTGCAGTGTATCCAAATTTACAAGACACTGGTGCATTGCACATGCAAATCATGCAGAGAACAAAAGATACTGCAGAAGTCAGGTTTACATGTCGATGTACATGAAGCACCACCCAAATGGAAATTGAAAGAATATTATGGTATTTTTTGCTTTGGCCAATAATCAATAGGCTTATTTAGCAACAGAACAGGGACGTCAGATGACGATGAGAAAGCAAAAGTGACTTCTGAAGCCCAATTTGTCACTGCCATTAGTCAAGCCAGTTGTTTGATTTGCAATTATAGTCATCAACTAACGTTCCCATTCTGTTGCTAAATCAGCCTAGTTGTACAAGCTTGAAACACCTTGTCTGAGGCGTTAATGCACCTCCAGATAGTAATGGATAATATTGCGCTCTTGTTTTATTTCTATTAATTATTATTCCTTATGTATGATAAAAATATTATTTTAATCAGAAAAGTTTTAGTTTTGATTTCAAAACAAAGGGAGGCAGGAAAAAAAGCTACAAAGCAAACAAAAGAAAAATCAGAGAAACAGCATCCTGATGAACATTAATGAATATAATATATAATAATAATATCGCACAAATTCATTTCTTACGAAAAAAAGTAACATCAATAAAGCTGTTTATAAGTATTGTTGGTGGTTGGTTCTGAGGAATAACTGACAAGAACTTTTTTGGTCATTTTGTTACATTATTTTTTCTTTTTATGTGTCTTGCCTAGTTTATTCTGTTACCAATAGTTTAGAGTACAAAGGCAAATTTTGTGAAATTGGTTTAACAATTTTAAAGAAGCCCATAAAATTAAGAGGATACTTGATGCATTATTTTTAATAGTACAGTGTATAATTATTTTCTTAACATGGAGTTACTTGCAGCATACCTGGAATAGAATATGTGGATGACTCCAGAAGCACTATTAAGGTTTATAAATAAACAGTAAAGGCATTTTTATTATAATTAATTTTATTGAAGTTGACATTTTAATAAAAATTTAAACCTTATATGCCCACTAACTTAATGCTTTTGTTCATTCATCATGCAGTGGTTGACCAAAGCCAGAAACACCATTGACACAAAATCAAAGGGGTTGGAGGGAATGCTATGTTACATCAAACATACACAAGAAAAGAGCAAATTTCATGACACCCCCTAGCAATAAGTTAAACAAGTTCAGAACATAAACTCAGAGGTGGTTGATCATAAATTTTACCACAAATCTGCCTCTGTTTCTGCAAGTCAGTTTGGCACAAGAGCATTGCATCCTTAAAATTTGTTTTATAAGGCACTTATAGAAGATTCTGCAATAATACATTGACTTTATGATCTTCAACCCTCGCACGCTGTTTTCATCACAATTCAATGGCAAATCCGTTCCTTTTAAATAAATGTACAGTGTGTAGGGTTGGAAATTTCTTTCTATCACTCTCCAGCCCACAAAAGAGACAAGATGCATCAGAGTGTAAGAAAAAGAGCAAAATATTAATTGACTTTTGTACCTGTCAAAACGTATTATAATCAGTTGTAGTAACAGTACAATAAAAGTTGTTCAACACATTAAAAACTGTGCACTTGCCAAATCAGGTGAGTGAGCGTGTTTTTACTCAGACAACTGCAATTCTCACATGCACTGGTTTCCTGTTCTTGAGAGAACGGAGCAGCATGTAGCATGCAAAGGTGCTGGGATGCACATGTATGTTGTAATGGAACAGGCAATGATAGGAAAGACTCCAGACAGGACACTAGCAATTTATTCTCAACACAGGACACTGCATGTGAAACTCATCTACTCTGAATTCCTCATTGCCAGTCTATTCCTAACCACTCCTTTGGCCACAAATCCTTGCTAGGTGCTTTTCATAACTGCATTACATTATTCCAAAACTGGTCATTCTGTATATCTAGCTAGACATTCTCCTCTTACAAATAGCATCCTCCATCCAACAATCACATCATTGACTGCTACATGTAAACCAACATTTTACAGACTGGTGTCATGCTATGAGCAGATATCATGGTCACCCATAGCCTTGTAGAGCCAGTAATTACTGCCAGGAAAGACAACAAAAGTGTAAAAGTTCTCTCCACCAAGGAAGTGTCCATGTTCATTCTTTTTCCATGTGACTGGACAGTCAGTAAATCCCCACACAGTAACTGCTACCCAAGGGATGGAGCTGGATTTAACTAGTTCTCTGTGTCAAAAAAAAGTCCAGATGTTACACGCTACTCTGACTAAAAATTAATGTTTTTCCTTTTCAATTTTCTCAAATACTCTAATATTGTTATTAATATTTAGAACCTGTGTGAAAAAGCAAAAAGCTGACAAGTCTGCATTTCTTCATCTACAAAGTTCATAAAATTTAAACATTTTATTAGTTTAGGACTGCCATTAGGTGTCTCATAGGGGAGTGAGCTCCACCTTCAAGGAGTCAAAGAAAACCTTTGAACAATGGCAGGGACCAGCCCTCTACCCTCCACTTTTAGGCAATGTCATAGAATAAGAACAGCTTTTTATCTACAACAGAACTGGGGCTTAAGACCTAGTTTCATACAGAGCAACAAGAGAAGGAGAGTGGGAGGGGGTCTATTGTAGCTGATTTGCGAAAGTTTGTGAACACTTTTTCCACAGATTTTTTCTCCAAGATAACTAAAATCCATGTTTCCCTTCTGAGGCAAATAAAGCCAAATGACACAACTTCTGTGACTTTTTGCATTACTTTTGAAAATTAAAGTTTCAACAAGTTATAAAGAGGTAGTGTTTGCATGAAGCCTTTTAATTCCTGCCATGAGCAATCCACCACAATTATCTGATGCTAGAGCAAGGGTTAGCTATAAAGAAACAAGCTGCAATATTTCAAAGCATTCTGGTTAGATTCTAAGGCAGACTTGGAATTACAGGACAATTTTCATGTCATTTCCAGAGCAAAGGTAATATATTTCTCTATAACATTTTGTCTTGTAACCAAAAGAGTGGGAGGGGTTGAGGGACCAATTAGGGTTATTAACCTACCGTGCTGCATTTACCAATGATAAAACAGAGCTGGTTGTTATCAATCCAGTCCAACGGCAAGTCATCATCTGGGTTAGGTCTCGTGATGGCTCTGGACAAGATAATGTTGACACAAAGCTGTCTGATGCTGCCTTAGAACTGAGAAAATAAATTCATTTTAAAGATAATTTATACTGCAATTTATGAAAAGAGGCAATAAAATTCACCTACCAGTAATAAAAGCAACTATTGCTACGTGATTGTCTGCCAGGTTGTGGGGAAAATAATTGAGGTTTTGAAATTAAATTATTTTAATGCATTCAGTTGGACTAGGACATGTCTAGAGGTTCTAAAGATTTAATGTGAATTCAACTGATAGAATTAGCTCAGTCTGGCAATATTATAATTTCTTTCCTTAACAGAGAAGAAAACTTTACCCTCAAATTACTTTGGAGTCATTCTATCTAGTGTACCTAAGTTGCAGGAAGTTCTCGCTTTGATTCAGAAAAACATAGAAAACAAACATAAACTTAATAGATTTGTGTCACTAGTTAGATGGTCACCAGTGGCCAGCTAGAGCTACTTACAATGCATAAATAAATAACATTTATGCTTTACCTATTTCGAAATCAAATTGAAGGCAGAATCAGAGTGACATTTCATGAAATTATGGGAATTATACCCTTGTACTCCTTTACTTACAGAGTACTGACCAGCACAAAGACCAACTGAGTAATTAAGTTCTGTGTTCAACCCAGCTTACCAATCAATTCCACAAGCAACACAGCCTAGCCACTCAAAAAAAGACATGCAACTGCACACATCAAAGTTTTCTGCAGTCAACCTCTCTTCTGTGAACTGTGACCTACTGTAGTTGATAACAGGAACTTTTTGGTGTTTGGGCACACTTTGTAGATCTTCCACATTACCCAGCTTCTGAAAATTGTATGAGCTGAAGAATGCATGAAGTTTTTCTGTTGAGGTGCGCCCTGTAACAAAAATTATTTTGTAAAATATAACCCATTACAAGTGTATTTTAGTCAAGAAGCCAGCGACAGAGATTATAATCTGTGAATTACACTATTATCCGCTTTCCAAGCATGACAATGAAAGAAAGCTGAAGACATCATGCCTGCACATGATATTATTTTTACATTTTTTTATTACAACCTGTAGGCCACACACTACATTAATTTTTTGGCATACCATTTTCTGAGAGAACACCAGGTCTGCTCTCACTTTTCCATCATGGTTTCTCACCATTATATTATTTTGTTAATTCAAAGACAGATTCTTTCATGAATTAAAGTTTTCCTTCTCTCTGGTACATGTAAATACAAGAACTGTCTGGGATGACTTTAATAGCCATAAGGAACCTCCACTTGATCATAACGATCATCTGTATCTCTACGCCTCTCAGTTTAGCTTCTTCTGCCAAATAAATAGCCTCTTGAACTATGATTATTCCAATATTCCAATGAAAACTATTTTAGTACTGCCTTGACCTATCACACAAATTTTAGAGGAAAAAGATTGAACTAAAAAATATCATCATAGTTGTATAGGCTGCAAGAATAAATTGACCGCCTATAGTTACTACTGTGCATAATAAACTGTTATACACTATTTTGCTAACCTTCACATGTCCAGCTCATAAGAAACTTGAATGTTAAAAGCTGGTTATCTTTTAGACACCACCTCACCCTCTCATACTGCTTCTTACCAGGAACAAAATATGATGATGCCAGGTCAACTTCTACAACTGAATAAGGCCAAATATCTAATTAGTATATTAAATATCTTCAAACATACTGTAGTTAAAGACTAAAAGGCCCAAAATAACTTCTGATGTAATATCACCTCCATTATTTTGATTTCCATGATATACAGCACAAATTGCAAGTGTCAGGGGAAACTCGTAGTTACAATACACGTAGTTACAGTCAAATCAACAAGACCATCAACACTTGAAATATTATTATAACAGGAATGTGCATTTTGTTATGACAAAGAACACACAAGCTAGCGACAAAACCACTAACATTGTTGCTTGCGGTTTAGTTTTCTCATGCCTGATGGCTTTTCTTGCGATACAATAACATTCCAGAAACATTTTCTAGTATTTACAGTTTTGTTGGTCTGACAACAATTGAAGTCATAATAACTATAATTTATTAATGAGGCTTTATTTCAGGTGTCCCTTCAACTGACTGTTTGGTGGTAAACCACCTTTGAAATAAGCCAGTATAATATTTATTAGTAAAATCCAACTAGTGGTCTATTATCAACACTGTGTTCTGATTGGTTGAGCTACAACTACAATCTTGGACAAAAATGTTAAGAAAAATGCACGTTGTATGTTTAATTAATTTTTAGAATACTTCCCTCTAAAGCCCGGTTCACTCAAGATACTCCCCCCTCTTGCCCCAAAAAACAATGTTGAAGTGTGGCCCGAACATTTTTGCTGCCTATCAAACAACATTGACCAGGGAGGGGTGGGGGAAGGGGTCACCATGGTGCTAAATTCGCAGGGTGGCTCTCCTGTGTGTAAGAAAGAGCAAAATTCATAACACTTTTTGTCTAAGACTGTAGGCTATATGTTATAGCCCATTAGTAGCGAAAAGCGCTGGCTTTGAAAACCAAAACAATGGCAGCTGAATAGCATTTTGCTAGCTAAGGTTGTTTTGTCTCAATATTTTTGACCAACTAGTTGGATTTTCAGGGTGCAAAGAAAATCATTTTTACAGCTTGCCATTCGGGCAAGCTGAAGCTAGCATTTACTAGCCCAGACGTCATTTCAACTAGCCCCAAAAACTTTTTGACGAGCAGAATTGATTTCACAGTTCTTCTGTTATTCGAATTCCTCAAAAAACATCACTTGCCCGTTGGGCAAGTTAAAAACAGGATTCACTAGCCCGATAGCAAAATCCACTAGCCCCCGGCTATCGGACACTACTTTCTTTGCACACTGGATTTTACTAAAACAATTATTCCTCTCACCCTCATGTCCTCTGAGTCAATAGCCCATTCGGCCTTCAGCCACATGGGCTATTGACTCAAAGCCCATTCGGGCTCGAGGAATAATTGTTAATTATACCCCTGTTTCCTCAAACACTTACATAATTATAATAATATTATTAAAGGGAGGCCCAAGAAAATACAGTGCAAGAATGGCAAGAAATGGGAAAGAAGGAAAGAAAAATCTGGTGTGGTTAAATGAAGCAGTGCAAATTTGGTAACCTTAAATGTGGGCACTGACATAAAAAGAACAAACCTAAACCTGATGATACTACTTAAAACCATACTCACTGAAATACAGTGCAAGAATGGCAAGAAATGGGAAAGAAGGAAAGAAAAATCTGGTGTGGTTAAATGAAGCAGTGCAAATTTGGTAACCTTAAATGTGGGCACTGACATAAAAAGAACAAACCTAAACCTGATGATACTACTTAAAACCATACTCACTGAATCTGTGTTTCTTTTGAAAGGCTGATGCCTTCCCTGTAAGACCCAAGAGTTCATAGGTGTCTTTGTCAAGAGAAAGAATCAATACTCCTAGAAAATAAAAATAAAAAAACAAGTATTCTTAATAATCCTGTACATACTTGGCATTAACAAGATAAACAAATTATTATTATCCATAGTCAGCACGCCACCCTACTACTTGACATCAAAGAGGCCCAGTCGGTCAGTACATTTTCGCTGGAACTGACAATAATCTTTGTAAATATTGTTTATGAGCAGTACTTTCTAGAAGTCTAAGTTTCACTCTTTTAAACAAGGCATTGAGGTGAAAGACTAACGCTAAAGAGGCGCTCTTAGCAAATGGCATACTACCACTGTAGTATGCCACTAGGGCCTATGCTCCAGACACCTCCTCTACTCTTTACATGTTCTTCTCATGCCCTCTATAAAAACTAACCAAAACTAACTAGCGCCTGCCACATAGGCTACATTTAACCCTGTGCTGAACTAGCATACTGTCCAGGGAGAAATGTGACCAACCTAAGTTGATTCTGAAAAACTTTTTCTCCTATACCATATTCATGAATAATCACAGGTCTAGAAGACATAAGGAAATTGATAATTATCTAGGTTCATAGGTTTTAACCTGAATTTATTTTAATATTAACCCTACAGTGCAGTGATGTTCCTAGTAGTAGGTGCTTCACACATTGCAAATGACTCATGAATAATGTACCTTTTTAAGCGTACAGTAAATTCATTTCATACCTGTTGGAAGAACAGCAGCACAGTTACCAGAATCAACTAAGGTTTCCCAGCTAAGAGCAATGAACTGACCTGAAAGAAACAAGCAATAACTGATCTGAATTGTCAATACATGTAGTTGACAATAATAATCCAGTCTGCATCAATGGTTGTTGACAGCCACTGCGAAAGAGACATCTTTCAAGTCCAAAAATTCTTTTGTTATTATTATTTTTATTATTTTCACCCCCAACTTTGCTAATACAAGATCAATGGAAATACCTTCAATCAGTAGGTATTGCTGCTGGATGCGTTTATAGGCTAAGATAAAAGTAATAAAGGGGCAAAAAACAACAACTAGTGTTTAGTATCTGATGACCATTCCCATTTCCGGCATTTCAGAATGATGCATAAATTAACTCACGAATTAATGTCACAGACATGATCACTCATGCATCCAACCATCTCTTCTCTTCTAAGAGAGTGATGGAAATCGAACCTACAACTGACCATAAACCAAAACAATCTGCCAGTAATTTTAATTACTGGACTGTAGTGAGATTTCTTCTCATCAGAGACAAAAACAAATAACCCTATATATCCAGGCTGTCATTCCATACAAAGTGGATTAGCAATAATTATTGTCAAAATAAACTAACAGTATCATTACCTTTCTTTATAAATGTTTTGATAAACTCCACCTCTGTGAAAGCATACAAAGGAATCTCAGTCAAACAGTAAAGATCCTGGGTTGGGGTTACACCCTGAAACCACTGAAGAGCACTATCCAAGGAACAGTCTGGGATGACAAGCTGCACCTGCATAAAATTATATCAAGTCAACATTGCTTAGATGCAATTAAAAAATGTTATATTTTTAAAGATGCGCTGCCATATTTTTTTCATATATTCTGGAAAGGTTTGGAATACCCTACTGGAAAATACATCCCTAACTTTACACAGGAGTATGAATTCCCATTCAACTGAAAGCGTATCAAGACTTCATGCCAATGCTAGAGGACTGATCCATTGCACCAGAAGAGAGTGATTCTCAAATGCCCGTATCAGTACTGCCACAAAAGTTTAGATTTTATTCTTAGAGCTTGCTGCCTACAGAATTTTTTCACTTTCAGCAAGACATCTGCTCTTATAAGTATTTTGGAATTTTTTTCAATCTACCCTCCATTGAGTTTCTTGAACTGTTGGTTTCAGCTCCTTTGTGTTCTTTCAGTATACATTTTCTTTTTAAAATCTTGTTGCTTCTCTGTATCATCATGTGTGGGAATTTGCATGGGAGCAGTTCCCAGAACCTCATTTCCACAACTCCCTCCTACTTGTTCCCTGGGACAAACCCTGAGAATGAGGTTGCAGTTCCCAAAGATTCACATGAGAGGACCCTTTGGGAGGAAGAGGTCCGGTTAGCATGTCCCCAGTCTGAATTTCAAATCCTGTTGTTTTATACATTGAGGAGGAAGCCATGCTCAAGTCAGTATTTTACTACTGCATTTGTGCTGGTCCTCATTGCTGTCACAGTTTCAAAATTAGTGGCATAAACAAAAACATCTTTGTGTCATTTGTCAACATTTCATCTGTCGCTTTTTCAGGGGCTAGGGTCATGTTACTTTCTGGAATTTAACCCTTACAGTGCCCCATAGAAAATGGTTTTTTTTTATCAGACTTGTCCCTCTGCCCAGGAACCATACCTGATGCAGCCTTACTACATTCCATTAAGAGAGCCCTGGAGTCCATAAAAATCCTGGGGGGGGGGGGGTACTCCCTTATACAAGCTATATAGGTTTGAGCCGCCCCACCGGGTCTGGTTTTGGTCTGAAAACAGGTATATACTTTGCCTATTTTGGTTTGGAATCGGGTATGGTTTTCAAGGGTACTATGGGAGTGTATGAACGTACTTATTGTTTCAATTCCAAAAGAATAAGAAAGAAGTAGAAATATGCGAGTTTGAAATTCATTTGAAGAATTTTTTGTTTGCACACTGAATCTAAGTAATGATGATGTAATTTTTACCTAAAGGCCAGGTCAGGAGCCCATAACACAGGTCTGAAAACAGGTATGGATTTTGGAGGTTTGGTCTGAAAACAGGTCTGTAAAGTGACATATTTTTGGTCTGAAATAGTGTCAGGATTTGGAGAACCGGGCGGCACACCCCCACGAAGAATTCCCAGAAGTATACCCCCCACCTCCCCCCCCCCCCCCCCAACCCCCCCCGGATATAAATAAAACGTTTTAAGGTTCAGGGCAGGGGGCAGGGGGCGGGGGGCTCGGGGGGAGGGCGGCAGGTCAGTCCCCACCGCCTTTGTTTCGCCTATCTCCCCCCAGCCCCGCCCTAATAAGACCGCATATTACTAACCTCACTAGGCCCTCGATTTACACCTGATAAAAGGTCTGAAACAAGGTCTGTAAAGTGAAATATTTTTGGTCTGAAATAGTGTCAGGATTTGGAGAACCGGGCGGCACACCCCCACCAAGAATTCCCAGAAGTATCCCCCCCCCCTCCCCCCCCCCCTCCCCCAACCCGCTCGGGATATAAATGAAACGTTTTAAGGTTCAGGGCAGTGGGCAGTGGGCAGTGAGCTCGAGGGGAGGGCGACATGTCAGTCCACACCGACTTTGTTTCGCATATCTTCACACAGCCCCGGCATAATAAGAGCTCATATGACTAACTTCATTGAGCTCTAGATTTACACATGATAAATGTTGCACGCACCATACCATAACCCTGCCTGCATCACGTGGACAAAAGTAGGACGCCTCGCTAGCATGGGAGACAAACAAGGGCCATAACTTGCTGGCTGGCTAGTTACGGTGACAGAGTAACTCACCGAATGATTAAAAACGTGGTCTTCTATTTGACCCTTGTACCTCTCCTTCTTATCCTGAAATGAACCCTTTTCAATCGTGAGTCTTCTTTTCGGCGTGCTGAACCTTCTTCCTTCGGCCATTGTCGGCCATATTTGATAGACAGCGTCCGAGTAATTTGGGGACCTGGATCGATTTAACACCAGTCTTCTCGCAGCCATCACAGTTGAAAACATGGCGACTACCGTGGAAGAGATTTGTCCGTCGGAAGAAACACTTACACAACGAGAAAGTGAAGCTTCTATTCAATGTCCTACACCCGGATGTTCGAGAGTATTCCATAATCGTCCATGCCTCAGAATGCACCTTGTTAAAACTCATGGCGTCGCTGCGAATGATGAAGAAAGAGGTCGTTATATTCGTGGGCAGAAGACTACAGTTAAAAAACATTATTATTGCCCAGTGAAGCACTGTGTGCGAGGACAGGGTACAAAAAGACCTTTTCCTCGTATGTCACAGCTGAAGCAGGTAATATTATCAAACAAAATGAAGCCAGATTTTTTTTAAAATTTATGTGAGTAGAGGATCAATTATTAAAAGGAGAAATATAAAATATGGAGAGCAAAATTTTGACCCTTCGGACAAATTTTTCAAAGGTGGCGACAAAGAGGTGCAGATGGCATCATTTAGAAGCCAATTGCAGTGCATAGTTCCCAAAACCCTATAGCAGGGTGATCATTAGGCATCGGAGATAGGAGAATTCTCCAGTTACCACTAGGTAGCCTATTACTATTTTTTATTCAGACGTGGGGCCTCTTTCAAAATATTCTCCTGTGATGTTACACCTTTCTCCTGCTACTAGAATTTGTGATGAAAATCCTGCCTATAGACTCACACGCATACTACACTACATACTGTACTAGCAAGAAGAGTTACCTCGAGATGGTGCAGTTTGTATATGAAATGTACTATAAGTCACTGACAAAGACATTATATAACATCAAAGGTTATTTATGGTAACAGACTATTAGTGCTCTGGTAGAACTTACACTATTGCTTTCATTCTTCTTCCAGCACTACATGACAGTTCACGCAGAGAAAAAGAATATCTGTAGCAAGTGTGGCAAGGGATTTGGTCTACTAGATGCTTGTCGTCGCCATGAGCTTAAGTGTGGACAGCTGTTTAACTGCTCTTGCGGATGTCCTTATACAACACTGGAAGCACTTCTCACTCACGCAAGAAGGCAGATGCATAAAGTGCCTGAATGCTACCAAACAAAGAAAGAAAGGTGCATTATTTAATGTCGTTCTTACTCATCCTTAGCTTGCATCTAAACAATTCCTATATCATCACAATTGTTTTTTTCTAACCATAACTGCAAAATATTGTCAAGAGTGGCTTCTGCACCCTCTACCTTGCTCTTTACCATGACTTACACATGAAGTTTAATTTCTGGGGATATCATAGTGGTGAAAACAAGTTATCAAATTAATGTTTTATTACTTAGTGATCGGCAGAGGGCTTAACCTCCTTCAACGGAAATGCATGTAAGTGAACTAACTTTTGTGGTGAAAAATAGTACAATTTATGCTTTCTGGGGTGTCTATTTTTAGAGAACAGGCAAGAAAACTTAAAATTAAATGTAGTCCTGGTAGTTGTCCTTCTCCTCAAATCTAAGACTGTCTAATATTTTTGTTTCCAGCACAAAACCAGTAATTCCAGCTACAAAAACAGTGGCTTTAGTTGTTGTCAATACAGCTGACCCTGTGAGTCAAACTAGGGAAAAGAATTCTGGAAAGAAAGGGAGACCAGGCCAACAGAGCATGAAACCATGTCTGATTCTTCCTAAACCTGGCCCTGAAGGTTACTCTATAAGAAAAGTTGCCAAGTCTGTGCAAACACAAACACCACTGGGAATGCATAGCATGCATACTCAAACACCCAGGTGTTGGCCAAATGCAGAGCAGGGGTGCGACACCTTCACACAGGCACCCCCACCAACTAATAATCAGCAGTTTCAGTTCAATACCAGTGCGGACAATCTTCAACTAGGCTTGAGCCAAGCTTCAGTGGGAACGCAAGTGGCCATGTTTGCAAATCAATGTGATTTTGGTGTAGGTACTGATGATAGCTTCCTGGCACAGTTAGGGTGTATTACAGGACACCCAGCAAGACAGCCTTTTCAATATGCATCAAACCTTCCACAGGATACCCAAGTTGAACAGCTTCCTCCTATTACCACTTTTGTCGCAGCACAGGAGAGGTCTGCATTTGTTTCTACCAATGAGAACTCTATGCAGACACTGACCATTGATCCTTTATGTTTGAACAATCAAACACAAACAAATCTCACCAACACAGATGAGCTTAGACCTTTAAACAGTACCCAAACCCAGACTTGTGGCTTAGAACAGGTTCCCCTGGAAGACAATGAAACACAGACTTTAATTTCGTTGTTGGGCATCGACACTGCTAACTCTATTGACTCGGGCACTCAGACGCAGCACTTTCTTGATGATTTGTTCTGTGCTCAAGATATTGAACTTACAGAGTCTCAAACCCAAACATGGTTCTCTGACTACCCACTCACCTCTCCTGGTCTCGATAGTAGTGGAAGTGATTTTGTGTACAAAGCGCTTGATGATTTAGTTGATATACACACACAGACTTCGATTGTCATGTCTGACTTTAGTGAGCTATCTGGAGACACAGTATTTGCCAACTCTCAAACTCAAACATTACAAAGTGACTTTGGTGGCTACAATGTCTTGTCTTCAAGTGCTCAGACAGACACCCATTGGGCTCAAGTGGCACAGACTGTAGGACAGGTCAGCAATGGCTCTCTCATTTCTACAAGCTGTCAAACACAAACATAGTGTAAAGACAATAAATTTGCGACCAAACTTTAACATCGGCTGATTTTGCACAAATCCAGGCATGGAAATGTAATGCTAGATGTTTTAGAAATAGACTAATCCCTTTATTCGAGAAGTCAATCACCCCAGGGCATCTGTTGACAACTCCTATTAAAGTGCCATTACACATTAGACATGGGTGTAGTTTCTTTCCTTGCAAATTTTGCACAATCCAAAATGACAGTTGATCTTCCAGGCAGAGGCTCCTTGCTCCTCATTTCCTAAGTATATTAAATCTTTCTTCACTTCATACTTTACTGATCTTAAAAATCCTGCTGTATTCCATTCTGCTGTCCTAGACCTTACATAATAGATGGAGGCTTTGGCGCAATAGGCTCCTGTCTGTCCAACGATGCTTGCCAAAAGTTAAAACTGGCTGACAGAACAGTCATTTTGAAAATGTTAGGATCAAATTTTCCATAAAAACCCACCACTGCCAAGCATACCATTTAAGAGTAGACTGATCTGGCTGAATGGTTCTGATAAATAATGGAATTCTCCTTACAGCTAGACAGGTCTGGCCAGACAGTTTTATCAAATAGAAAGCGCCCCTAAATTCTATCTTTTATTGCGCTACCAATGCTGTGATGTTCCCCTGCGTTTCAAAATGAACCCTCTTTCTCAGAAAAAAAATATTACTAATGTGTTAAATGTAAACTGGATAACCCATGATGTGAGATCTGGATTGCCAAGGTCTGGTTACACTTACTTTATAGTTATTTTAAGGGAGTACCCCATGGGGTCCAGGGTGGAGATACTTTGTGTCCTTTTTAGGTTGATAAGCTGCTGATAATGTACTGTACTCGTATTCTACAGATCATGTCCAGCAGGATTTTTGCACCCCAGGGTTGTACACTGTGCTCTAGGCAACACTGAAAAGTACCTGTTTTATTTGCTCTTATAGACATTACACGGAACTGTTTCCCCAGGTACTCCTAGGAAAATTATTTTGGTGGGGGTGTGCCACCCGGTTCTCCAAATCCTGATCCTATTTCAGACCCAAAAATGTCATTTTCCACATCTGTTTTCAGACCTGACCTCTAAAATCCCTACCCGTTTTCAGACCTATGTCATCATTGCTTGGATTAGGGCGCAAACAAAAAATTTCTTTAAATGCATTTCGTGTCTGTATATTATCTCTATTTCTTTCTTATTCATTTGGATTTGACACTGACAATAAATAGGTTCATACGCTCCCATAGTTCCCACAAAAATCATACCCGATTCCAGACCAAAATGGGCAAAGTGTATAGCCCGTTTTTAGACCAACAAGGCCCAAAAACCATACCCTTTGGAGCGGCACATACCTATATGGCTTAATGGCTTATATAAGGGAGTAACACCATCCCCCCCCCCCACCCAGGACCGTTTCCCAGGAAATGACAGCCTTTTCTAGACCCAAATTTCTGCTTCTATGGTATGTTCCAGGCTCAACTGTTTGGAAACAAGACTGGCGTTAAAATGGTCAGATTTGATTTTAGGTTAAGTTTGATTTAACCTAGGTTGATTCTCAATTCCTTTGTCTCCTCGCCCTAAGAGACAGAGGAACATGAGAATCAACCTACTAAAACAATTTAACCTGAAATCAAATTTGACCTGTAACATATATACAGAAGCATGTAATATGCTTCTGATATATACCACAGCATTTTCTCACTTGAGTCATTTTTATACTCTTATGCCCAGGGGGTATACTCTGGATTTCAAGTGACAGGGATGATCAAAGAATTTTTTTGGGTTTGAAATTTTCAATATTGGGATTTTTCGGGTAGGAAAATTTTGGTAAGTATTTTTCAGAGTAGCTTGATTTTAGTAGGGACTTTGGGGGGTATTCAAAACAATCTGAAGATTCGTAATAGTTCCCGCGTATCCCAGCTGCGTAGCTCCTCTGGAAATTTTTATGGTTGGGGAATTTGGCATAGGTTTTTTTTTTCCGGGGGTAGGGGGGGATAGTTTCAGGGATTTTTTTGTTTGAAGCCCTAGGGATTTTGGGTGGTTTCTATATTTGCCCCCATTCGATCTTCCCTGTCACTTGAAATCCGGAGTACCCCCCTGGGCTGGTACGATTGCCTGCTGCTGAATAAGCCTTCAAAACAGACATAAAAGTGGAGGGAGATGGGGTGGGGAGAAACAAAGCCTGTAGCAGAGTCATACCCAGTTGTTTCTCTGTATCCACACTGTGTTTAATGGAAACGATGTAGTGAATTTGCAGTGCATCACACGGAAGAAAAGAAGAAAAAAGCGCCATTGCATGCATCAATTTGTCTTTCCATGTACCTTTGCAATAATAAATAATTAAACTATGTATTACTTTACACTACTTAAACTTTATTATGGAACTTTACATCTCATGTGTATGTACATTTGCAAATATCCTGCTTTTTTTTTTGAAAACTTACATCAACAGCTGAAAGTGAAAGTTCTTTGCCAATAAATACATAAATTTTCTATGTACAACCAATTTGTATAATTATTTTTCCAATAACTGTGACAGTGTTACAAAATAACATTTTCTATGTACATCCAGTTGACCTTATTCCTTTTTTCTAGCTTCCACAGCCATATTTCAGAACTTGTATCACATTGTTCCAGACAGAAAGAAGTCTGTATAAAAAGTGATCACATTCATGCTTGCTTGCATCTGCTAAGTCTACTTACAGATAAAGGAGCTTTGCATGATTATATTATATTATAAAACTGAACCCTGAAAAGCTGCAAAACTACTGTGTAGTAAGAAGTCAAGTAGCTTTCACTTGAGGAAAATGGTTTTTGGCTGTTTCCTTTGTAGAAAAAAACAGAGCCTTTTTCGGTTATTGCTCTTTAAAACAAAGTTGAAATAAAGGTATATTCCATGTCTTGATCCAGTAAGTTTAGCCTTGTACTAATGTACAGGTAGGACAGTATTTTTTGTGTTTAGTCAAAAATCCCAAAGCATTTGAGTCATTTTAAGTCCTTTAACTAGTTCTTTTTTGTTGTGCTGATTGCCTGGATTGATTTTTTTTTTCTGGCACATGAAAATTATCCTTGGGATTTCCCTGGGGTTGATTTCGAATTTAGGTCAACTAAGCTGAGAGGGGTCTAGTAGATCCGGTGATCTTTAAGATAAGTTGACATGGCATTACCCTGCAAGGATGTAAGAATGGACAAAGAAAGCGATTCAGTTCTCACAATAGTTTGCCAAAGCCACTTCCAGCTTTGTTCCTGATACACTAGGTAATAACGTCTCTGAAATCGTTACTCTAGCTTTTTCCACCTTTCTGTCCAGTTCTTGAGTCAGTTTTTCCAAAGCGTCATTTAACTTTCCTTTACTGGGCACCAGATTTGCTGCCTCGCTAAGAGTCAGTTTCTTTCCCTTCTTATTGTGCCTTGGAAGAGAGAATCCTGCTGATGGTCTCTCTGGAAATTTACCGTGACTTGCCGTCATATAACTTGATGGGTATGTGGGGTAAGGATAGCCTATAGTATTTCTAGTAATAGGCAGCCAATCCAATTTCCCCTCCCCACCTAGGCCTGTTCTTTTTTTCTGGTTCAGAGACTTGTGCTCCTTGGATTTCCTGCAAACCTTGGAGCAGGACGTATTGTCTGATTTTAGCTTAGTCTGTGATTGCAGAGCCTTGTTTGCAAGGAAGGCATCATCAGCAGCTTGCCTCTGTATTGGTGTTATTTTCTGTAATGGTTTAAGCTCAGAACAGCTGCTTGAGTTTATCTCAAGTCTGCAGTCTGACTTTGATAAATCATGAGCTCTAAACCTGCATAATTCACAGACGGATAGAGTTGGGTTGCTCTCCTTCCTAGACGGCATCGCGTGTACAACTTTAATTTTGTTATCCTCTGTTCTAAACTGTGTTACGAGAGGTACAGATGTTTCATAACTGCCGGGAATTCTGCACACCTTGTCTGCGCAAAGCCGATAATCTTCCCCGGCCTGAAAGCTTTCAAGAAGTCGACGATCGAACGACAAAGCAGGATCGCTAATTGCAATCCCTCCACTGCTAGTTTCCTGAAAAGTTATTATGCCACCGTTCTCGAGAACAAGCGTTTGGTTTGGATACTTGTGTGACGTAAACATATTCCGCAAAACTTGTAGCGGGGTTCTCTCCACGTACTTCAGTGTTCGAGGGTCAATGATATATCTCCAGCAAGGAGTATCATAAGACAATACATCTGCGTTTTGAAAATTCCGCATATTCGCTTTTAATTGTCTATTCCCTGGCCACGTTCCTCCAGCTTTCACGTTGTTGATTTCACTCCCGCTGCTTGAATTCGAATTTGTGATCATTCCAGCGAGCCGCTTAACTTTCGAATAATTGCTCTCGGAATCAGGGCTAACCCGCCAGTATTTTTCTTTCGCCTTTTTCTTCCGATCGGCTGAAGAAATATATCGAACGTTTGGCGCAGCGTCTTTCCAGCCACAAGCAACTTCGTCCAGACTGCTCGTGAACACAACACGATCATAGTCTTCTTCCTCGATCTCTTGGCTTTGGCGCTCGCTAAATTCTAATAGCTTTTCGATTAATTCGCGTTCCACGCTATTTTCCTCGCTGTCCAACAAATCAGCTGTATCATTTTCCATGGCGTTTTAAAACGAAAACTTCACTTAATCAATTATGCTCACTTCATCGTGCTGTTCATTTTCTCGACCGCCGACCTCATTTGAAATTCCTTAGAAAGCTTTTCCTTTGATTTTGCTTTTTGTTAATGTTGTTGCTAGGCAACACACAGCGGAACTGCTATAATTAGCATAAATCAGGTGTCAACTCGGTCTAATTTAGCGGTTTGTAGACGACCCTTTACGGTTTCCCTTTAGGCATTGAGCCAGAGGCTAAGCTTATTCTTAGCTTATAATATTTAAAATACCTAAATTTCGCGTTGGTTGTTTCATTTACAACGCCCTTCTACCTGGGTTGCTTAATTACCTTTCTATTTCTGAATAACCAGCTAATGGTGTCTATTTATTGCAA